AACTTCCTGGGTTTCAAATTTTCAAACTCCAAACTCGCGCCCGCTTTCGAACCCGAAACTCTCAAACTTTCAAACTTCAAACTCTTCATTCTCCAAACTTTTCAAACTTTCAAACTCTCGAATCCCGTCCAACATGTACTACGTTCAAACTCTCAAAGATTCGAGTTCGAAAAACCCCACTCGTGACACCTCTCATCCTTCTTACCTCTTGGTATGTCGCCTTTTCGTCTTAAGAAGACTGAAGAGACCTCGCTCCTAGCAAGAAAGGACAGAGCTCCCCTAGCTTCCAAAAAGAAAGATTTTCTACCTCATCCTCCACAAGAAATCACTGAGAGCTTCCTCCCATGTAATGAGACGCAAGAGAGCTTCATCTCAGCCCAGCAGACAGGCCCCTCCAACTTCACGAGAATTCAAAGGTCTCCGTTTACCCATCGGTCGGAAAGAAGATAACTCCTTTCTCTCTTCATAAGGGGTTGGATCTTGAGCATTTCTTTTACCTTTTCAAAAGATGGAGAACAGCATACGCACAAGAAGAAGAAACCTCCTTTCTCTCTTGGCAGTGGAAAGAGATCCTGATTACTTCCCTTACCTTTTCAAAAGATGGAAAAGGGCAACGCACAAGAAGAAGAAACCACCTTTCTCTCTTGGCAGTGGAAAGAGATCCTGTAATTTTCTTGACGCTCAAGAAGAAACGGTAGGGATTCCCCCAACCCTCAACGAAAACACGGAGAGAGTCCCTCCAAGTCATTCAGCTGATTTCTAGCAGCGAGCCCCTCTACCTCTTGGTAGGTCTCCATCTCCTCTGAAGAGAATTGAAGGGAGCTCGCTTCTAGTCGAAGAAGACAGGGCTCAAAGCATCTCCAGTTTCAATAAGAACTGCGGCTGCCTCTTCGTCGACAAGAAGAGAGAGGAGCTCCTTGTCGTCCCCTCTTCCTCCTCAAGGGATAGAAGAGAGATAGCTCTCAAGAAGTGAGGACAGAGCTCTCTCAATCGACAAAAGAAGAGTCCGATCCTCCCCTCAGCCTTCAACAAGACATGAGCAGCCCTCTCCCACCCTCTGAATCAAGAAAGAAACCCTTCTAACTTCTCCATGTCGCCACCACTTCCTCTCCAAGGGATAGAAGAGAGATATCTCTCAAGAGGTGAGGACAGAGCGTTCTCATTCCTAGTTATTCTTGGCAAGAGCAGATTTCTCTAGAGGAGATTTCTTATACCTTTCTCAGTCGCCAGCCTTCAAAAGAAAAGACCTCATGCTCCAAAGCAAGAAAACAGTCCCCAAAGGTTGTTCGTGGCAAAAGAACAACGCATCACGAGAAAGAAGGAAGCTCCGACTGCCTCTCTGGCGATAAGAAGAAAACTTCTTTCTCTGTTCGTCAGGAGCGACAGCTCCTGAACATCTCCTCCTCGAGAAAAAAACTTGGAAGGGAGCTTACGATCAGGAAGGAAGGATAGAGCTTTTCCAAATTTCAAACTTTGACAAGAGAAAAGCCAGTCCTCCCCGTGGCCTTCAAAACGAAACGAGAAGCCCAAGCCCTCTACCTTACCCTGCTGTGAAGCAGGAAGAGAACTCACTCCAAGATATTTTGGTAAGCGACGAGAGCTTTATTTGAGCAGAGAGAGACTTTACCTCTTGGTAAGTCGCTTTTATCTTAAGAAGATTGAAGAGACTTCGCTCCTAGCAAGAGAAGCCAGGGCTCCCCTTGCTTCCAAAAAGAAAAGTCTTCTACTTCATCCTCCACAAGAAATGATTGAGAGCTTCCTCCCATGTAATGAGACGGGAGAGAGGTCCATCTCAGCACAGCAGACAGGCCCCTTCAACTTCACCAAAGACAAGAGAGCTCCATCTACCCCTGCGTCGGCAAGAAATCTTTTTCCTTGAAGTTCTGCAAAAACACAGATAAAATCACAGCTCACAAGGGTGTCGCCCCAAGATTTGTACAGACTCAGATCCCAAAAACCCAGATCGCAAGGGATATCCCCCTAAGGGTTCGTTGAAACAACAAGTTCCAAAACAATAAATCGCAAGGGGTGTTTCCCTAAAGCTTTTTATAACAAATGAATTCCAACGCCACAAATCGCAAGGGGTGTCCCCCCCAAGGTTTTGTAAGAACTCAGATCCCGAAATCACAGATCGCAAGGGGTGTCTCCCTAAGGTTTTGTGAAAACTCAGAACCGAAAACCACAGATCGCAAGTGGTGTCCCCCTAAAGGTTGTTATAACAAATAAGTTCCAAAATCACAAATCGCAAGGGGTGTCCTCCTAATCCCTGCGAGCAGAAAGCCTGTAAATACCGCGTTAAAACTACGGCCAGGGATCCCACACATCTGCGGGCAAAATCTGGCGGAAGTGATCCGCCACCGAGCCAAAAGCCTGTAAATACCGCATTAAACAAAGGGCCACGGATTTCGCACATCTGTTGGCAAATTCTGGCGGAAGTACCGACTGCTCACTTCCGCCAGATTTTGCCAACAGATGTGCGAAATCCCTGGCCCTTTGTTTAATGCGGTATTGACAGGCTTTTTGCTCGGTGGCGGATCACTTCCGCCAGATTTTGCCCGCAGATGTGTGGGATCCCTAGCCCTTGAAGTGGTGGGTGAGAGGGTGGTGGGAGGGTGTTTGGGAGGTAGGGTGGGCAGGAGGTGGAGGGAAGGTTGTGTAAGAACTCAGATCACAAAATCACAGATCGCAAGGGGTGTCCCCCTAAGGTCTTGTGAAAACTCAGATCAGAAAACCGAAGAGCGCAAGGGGTGTCCCCCTAATCCCTGCGAGCCGCGACCGAGCAGAAAGCCTGTAAATACCGCGTTAAAACAACGGCCAGGGATCCCACACATCTGCGGGCAAAATCTGGCGGAAGTGATCAGCCACCGAGCAAAAAGCCTGTAAATATCGCATTAAACAAAGGGCCAGGGATTTCGCACATCTGTTGGCAAATTTTGGCGGAAGTACCGACTGCTCACTTCCGCCAGATTTTGCCAACAGATGTGCGAAATCCCTGGCCCTGTCTTTAATGCGGTATTTACAGGCTTTTTGCTCGGTGGCGGATCACTTCCGCCAGATTTTGCCCGCAGATGTGTGGGATCCCTAGCCCTTGAAGTGGTGGGTGAGAGGGTTGTGGGAGGGTGTTTGGGAGGTAGGGTGGGCAGGAGGTGGAGGGAAGGTGTGTAAGAACTCAGATCCCAAAATCACAGATCGCAAGTCGTGGTGTTCCCCCTAAAGGTTGTTATAACAAATAAGTTCCAAAATCACAAATCGCAAGGGGTGTCCCCTAATCCCTGCGAGCCGCGACCGAGCAGAAAGCCTGTAAATACCGCGTTAAAACAACGGCCAGGGACCCCACACATCTGCGGGCAAAATCTGGCGGAAGTGATCCGCCACCGAGCAAAAAGCCTGTAAATACCGCATTAAACAAAGGGCCACGGATTTCGCACATCTGTTGGTTTACAGGCTTTTTGCTCGGTGGCGGATCACTTCCGCCAGATTTTGCCCGCAGATGTGTGGGATCCCTAGCCCTTGAAGTGGTGGGTGAGAGGGTGGTGGGAGGGTGTTTGGGAGGTAGGGTGGGCAGCAGGTGGAGGGAGTGTGAAGTGGGAGAAAGGGGGGGTGGGGGTTGGGACGCTGGGTGGGCGCTGAGGGTCGGTGGGTGGCAGGGATGGGTGAGGGAGGGTAGGTGGGGTTTTACTTCCCGGCCCCATTTAAGTAATTTAAATAATTTAAATCCTGGAAAAGGGCCGGGACCCCCGGAATTAATTAATTTAAATCCAGGGGGTTCCCCCATATTTAAATTATTTAACTCCCTGCCCCGGACCCCGCCCACACCCCCGGGACCCTCCCCCAGGATTTAAATTATTTAAATTATTTAAATTATTTAAATTATTTAATTCCCGGCCCCATTAAATAATTTAAATAATTTAAATAATTTAAATAATTTAAATAATTTAAATAATTTAAATCCTGGGGAGGGGGTCTGGGGGGGGTTCCGGGGCCCCGGGACCCTCCCCCAGGATTTAAATTATTTAAATTATTTAAATTATTTAATTGGGGCCGGGAATTAAATAATTTAAATAATTTAAATATGGGGGAGGCCCCCGGATTTAAATTATTTAAATTATTTAATTCCCGGCCCCAATTAAATAATTTAAATAATTTAAATAATTTAAATAATTTAAATCCTGGGGAGGGGGTCTGGGGGGGGTTCCGGGGCCCCGGGACCCTCCCCCAGGATTTAAATTATTTAAATTATTTAAAGTATTTAAATTATTTAATTCCCGGCCCCAATGAAATAATTTAAATAATTTAAATAATTCAAATAATTTAAATAATTTAAATCCTGGGGAGGGGGTCTGGGGGGGGTTCCGGGGCCCCGGGACCCTCCCCCAGGATTTAAATTATTTAAATTATTTAAATTATTTAAATTATTTAATTGGGGCCGGGAATTAAATAATTTAAATATGGGGGAGGCCCCCGGATTTAAATTATTTAAATTATTTAATTCCCGGCCCCAATTAAATAATTTAAATAAATTAAATAATTTAAATAATTTAAATAATTTAAATCCTGGGGAGGGGGTCTGGGGGGGGTTCCGGGGCCCCGGGACCCTCCCCCAGGATTTAAATTATTTAAATTATTTAAATTATTTAAATTATTTAATTCCCGGCCCCAATTAAATAATTTAAATAATTTAAATAATTTAAATAATTTAAATAATTTAAATCATGGGGGAGGGTCCCGGGGCCCCGGAACCCCCCCCAGACCCCCTCCCCAGGATTTAAATTATTTAAATTATTTAAATTATTTAAATCATTAAATTCGGGCCCGGGACCATCCACCGAACAGACCCAGGATATAATCGCCATCTGCCTGTCTATATTAAATACTATAGGCGTGAAAACCCACAGTTTCAGCTGGCGATAATACCCCATTTAAGCCGCACACGGGGGGGGGGATGGGCCGCCCGGGGGCGGCAGCGCTGGGATTGGCAAGCTGAGCTCTGCCCTTGCCAGGTGGTGAAGCCAGCAGCCAAGGCCTCCCCCAAAGCAGAGCCGAAGAAGGCATCGCCCAAGGCGGAGCCGAAGAAGGCTCGCAGTGCAAAGACCGTTTTCTTCTCTACAGACAGCTGTGAACCTTCGTCTCGGCTGTCGGGTCAGGCCACTCCCGAAGACGACGAGGCAAGTGAATGCCAGCTGCAAGCTAGCATCTAGAGACAGAGGATGGTATTGTGTTTAGGGAAATCAGTCGTTAGATGATGCGAAAATGCTGCTATTCGCAGTGTGATCCATTGAGTTTGCATGGCCTGTCGCAACAGGATGACGACATGGAGGAGGAGGAGGAAGAAGAGGCAAGGCTGTGAGATGACATGGCACGATCGGGAGCCGGCATCTCCTAAACCGAGAACAAGATAGATGAACGACGTCATTCCCCAGCTGAAGGTAGGTCTCCTCCTCGTAGTTTTTGCAAGCAGCTTCTGGACAACTGGTGGCACGACATGCTTGGATTCCGTTGCTCAGCACAGCAGCTGAGAGCTGAGCCAGGGCGCAGAGGACGACCCAGTGGTGAAGCCTCAGGGCTAGGCTCTCAAGACACGGAGTTGCTGCTGACGCGAAGACTCCCCGTTCCCACGGTTTGCTGAGGCAAAGCTGAGGCCAAGGGCAAGGCGCAGAGTGCTAGCCTGGACCGCTTGCAGTTCGATACCAAGCCGGAAGAACAAACTCCAGAAGACCCGTGCAGCCTGTGCAGGCTAAGGCGGCCCCGATGGGTGACGATGATGCGCCTGGGCAGCACCAGAGAGCTTGAGCTGCCGTTCCGACGAGTCTTTGCTCCTCTTTTGTCAGGATGATGACGAGGAGGAGGAAGAAGAAGAGGACATCGAGAGCTGGTAAGTTTTTTCGATTGCAGTTCCAACTCGACAATGAGTGCACAGGGCGATGACGACGATGATGAAGTGGACGAGCCACCTGCACTGGCCCCGGGTGTCAGATAGTCACGGAAGATGATTTGCCCCGTTAGCTGGTTCACTGATTAACTAGACATGTAGCAGTCACTGCTTCGTCTGACTGCTCCGACTGCTTTCAGCATGCGCTATGTCATCTTGTTTGGTGCCTCGCGCGCACTCGAGGCGAAAAAGTTTAAGGGCGACGGAGGCTTGACTAAACAATGTCTGTATACAAGTAGAAGACCCAATTCTTGATACTGGCCTGCTGTGTGAAGGCCGCACTTTGCTTGGTGCTCTACGTTTCTTTCGCCTGTAGGTGGTGCGCACTTGCCATTGCAATTGTGCGCAACGTGCGTGGCCAAGGAAAGGGCAAAGGCAAGGATAAGGGAAAGGGCAAAGGAAAGGATAAGGGAAAGGGCAAAGGGAAAGGAAAAGACAAAGGAAAGAAGGGCAAAGGAAAGGGTAAGGTGCGCTTGTGTGATGCGAGTTGTTTACTTTCAGTCGACTCTTCCTGCAACATCTTGAGATGGAGCCGTGCTAGCATGCACCAGCTTCAATGCAGGGCAAGGGAAAGAGATAGATGGACACATTTCGAGGCCGTTCGATTGATGTTTGTGTTTCGCTTCACTGGCATCAGCGCTCTTTCGAATTGTGCTCAGGGAAGGCCGCCCACCATGGCGCCACCCTCGAGCGTGTTTGGCCCTGAAAACGCTGAATTGGCGACCCCTCCGCCAAATATCTGGATATTTGGCAAACTTGAGCCAAATTATGGCCAGCGCTAGCTTGAACTCGAAAGGCAAGGCAAAATCAGCTCAAGCAACAATGCACGGTTTAATATCGCTTGGAGCATAATCTGCGGGATCTTATCTTCGATCCTTCCCTCGCTGTGCGCTGATCAAGCAAAGGTTGTTCCATGATCAACCTTGATGTTGAATCTGTGTATGGTACTCGCATGGAACGTGAGGAAGCAAAGACTGCAAACTCCAGAAGTAGAGCCCTGAGCCCATCCTTCATGTTCCATGCCAAAGAATCTGGAATGTGAATTTCCCATTGCACTCTTACGTCCTGGTGCGGTGCTGCACGGATGCACTCACATCCGAAAGTTCTTGGTGGTCCCGGCTTCCTAGTAATAGACACTCGAAGGTTGATGATGTCAGTGTCTCTGTGGCACTCTGGCAGATGTCAGACTGTCTGGCAGCCACCTCCTCCGGTTCAGTGCGAGGGGGAGGGCACACAGCAGGACGGCACCGTTCTAAGACTCCTGTTCGGATATAGGAGCAATCAGTTTGCCGACGTAGCGATGGCTCACGCCTTAGGGCGCCTGAGCCCGCAGCATCATGATTTGAGTCGTGGCCAGCAAGAGCAAAAAGTGCACATTTGCAGTCGTCGGAGCTGCCATGAGAGCTTCGAAGGTTGCTTCAAGCACCAGGCAATACTATGCCCCGGCATAGTGGACATGGTACTTTAGGAACATATCGCCAGCAACCTGCCGTGTCAATCAACAGAGAGCAGAAGTGGTGAACTCCCGAAGCTCTGCACCTGTATGGCTCTGCAATGCAGAAATCAAAGGGTAAGATTCGAGGTGCTATGGGCAAGAAGCCGGGAAAGAAGGAGGAGAAGCAAACCAGGCCGTGATCTTCTTGGCCCGACTTGGTCCGTGTGGCCGATCATGCAAGCATCGCGCAGGTCGCAGTGGGAGGGGAAGCACCCGGAGCCGAAGTCAAGAGTTGATGAGCGGAAGGTGGTGGCGACGGTGAAGCTGCTTGGCGCGACATGCCATGCTGGGCATCGGGAATGTGGAATGCTGCACGGTACAGTAGCGACGCCGCAGAAAACCTTGCAAGGCTTGCTGCACCAGCCCGGGCCTTGGACAGTGGCATCATGTGGAAACTCCACATCTGCCATTTAGTCCTATCTAAGACTATTTACGATATTTACGAGCGTTCCTTCTACTGTAGATGTCGGGACCATCTTTCACCCAGCCGGTGATCTCTTGCCAGTAGTGGGCGCAGTTTGTAAGGTCTGCAACTTGCTCGAGTTCAAGCTCGACTGCAGCCCTTCCACAAAGATCTCTTTCATAGTTGATCGAATTGTCGACCGCCATGGCTCCTTGGCCTCTTTGGAGCACGTGAGCATCATTGCGGAAATTCTGGTGGAACAAAAGCCGTTACTGCAACACCGGAGGTGGGTCCATCAGTGACTTGTCGGTGTGCGTAAACCGCTTTCACCCAGAGGAGGTCGTTGGAAGAGTGCGGTGCCGAGTGTTCTGGCTCCCACGCCGCGAGAACGACAGCTATTTGACTGTCTTAACCAAGGATAAGACACTGGAGCAGTGTGGTGTCTTCGGAGGCGAGTGTTTGATATACTACGTGCACGGCTCAGCCTGGGTAGCTTTTCCTTGTTGTTGTTATAGTTAACCTTCTGACCTGCTGCAACTCAGGATTTCAGTGCCAGAGCTGGCGCATTGCTTGCATGAGCGCAGCCTTCGGAGCACGAACGCCTGGGCAGGAGCAAGGTGTCGTGTGAAGTGATCGGTCAGAAGTATGCAGGCTTCAAATAGACTGACCTTGGCTCCTATTCTCAGCAATTTCTCTAGCTAGGTAGGCTTCGAAGCGTGTGTTTCACCCTCCATCAAAAAGCGAATACGTGTCGCAGACCTACTGTGCCCATACCCGGGTGCATTTCATGCATGATTCGTTGTCCTGAGGACAACAAAATCTGCCAGCAGATGCGTGTGACGAAGTGCAAGGTTCCTCCTTGCACTGAGTTGACAGTTAGAGCATGTACAGCCCAAGCAACTGCATTGCACACTCGTGAAGAGGAAACCGTGCCTCACTTTCTTGGGGTGTAGCTTCACAGCGAGAGAGGGAGCGAGAGAGGGAGAGAGAGAGAGAGACACGCCCAAATCGAGAAGTGTACCAAGTCTTTAAAGCGCGCGGTGAACCAGGAAATCCCTTCACCCTAGCCCTGGCAAAGGAAAGAAAGACGCACGCTGCCTCTCGCACTAGTTGACGGGGGTGAAAATCACTCCAAGGAACCCCAAAGCGGGAGGGGCTCCTTGGCGTGGGTCCCCTGACCCCTTTGGAAGGAAGGAAGGAAGAAAGACAACGATTTGCATGTGTGAGGGTGGTTAGGTAGTCTTGAAAGCATGCCCATGTACATATGTATATAGATGTGTGTATGTACACACAAGCACAAACACGGACACACATCATAAAATTCATGTCTCACCCCATAGGTTTTTGAGTTCAAGACCCTTGCGGGTCCAGGAGTGAATCGCAGCAGAGCAGAGGGCCGCCAGGTGTCTGCGCCACTCCCTTGTTGTTTCTTTCCACCACCTTGCCACAGCAGCCTGCAAAGTTGTCACATATGTGGTTCGCTTTTATTCCGGGTCCTCACGCCGCCGCAAGAGTGTTATCTTCGCGGGGTCCTGACAATCATCGCTTACCTCAGCTTCAGCGTCCTACCTCTCGTCTGTTTGTGCTGGAAGTAGCAACGAGATGCAATGATGTGCTTGCACAACAGAGATGACGCACAAGAGCAGAGGCTTGGGAACAGCTTGGCCGGGTTTCAGAGTAAATGGGCGTCCTTAGGCTTCATTAAAGCTGCCAGATGAAGGCAAGGCTAACGCTAGCTACACTCGCTTCTGAGCGGTTCCAGCGCTGAAGGCTATTGTTCCAGGGGCGAAACGTAACTGCCGACATGCGCGATAAAACATACACACCGGAATCCTCACAGCAGGGACAACGTTGTTGGCGTTTCTTCTGCTGAATCCTGGCTCAAGGTGGAACCAAGCCATTCCTTTTCCGTAGTCTTCGGATCGTTTGCTGGGCATACGTCTGGAGCACATCTGCAAGAACCTCCGCCTGTTGTCCAGCCTGGCAGTCTGTCGTACCGCGCCGAGGGGATGCCGACAATCGAGGAGCTGAAGAAGATTATCGCCGCCCATGAGGCTCGAACCCGATGTTCGGCAACCGTGAGCTCATGTTGGGATCTGTCATGTTGGCGGGAAGGAGTCGGCAGAGACATGTAGCTTGAGAGACCCGTCATCAGGGGATCAGTGCCTTGCCGATCTAAATTTGCTGAGCTCGTGATACCAAGTGTTTCGATGCTGTTGCCGCTGCTGAAGGGACTCTTGCTTCAAAGACGTGGCCGCCAGGTGAAGATCGATGATGCCGAGCAGGAGGCCGCGAACGAGCCGAACCGCAAGAAGAAGAAGGACAACCTGCAACAAATTAACGAGTCTGGACTCTAGATTCCCCAGATTCCTCATACGAATTGTTTTAAAAAATTGTTTTTATAAAGACAATTCACAAGCATGTTCGGAGATGTGACAGGATCTGGAGAACGCCTTGAAAAAGCTGCAAAATGACGAGAAGTACCTCAAGGCCTGGCGCCGACTCCAAAGCCAGTGCTCCTCCTAGGCTAGAAAGGCCCAAAGAAGATAGGGGACCCTAATATAGTACCCCAAATAGTAGGATCCCTAACATAAGGACCCGCAAAAGAAGGTACCCCTAATTTTCGGAAACTACCAAGTCTCACTGCTAAGGCAAACCCGAACAAATCCGAACACCGACACGCCCAGAAGAGACGCTAACCGCAGTCGTCTGACTGAGGCAAAGGAGGATGTCAAGGCCGCAGAGGCCCAGGCGCAGCGCATAAAACCCTGTTGCATTTTAATTGCATTTTTTCCCGGTGGTTTTCGAAGTGTCATGTTGATGATTCTGGGCCGGATGAGGGAGGTTTTGTGTTGCTGTTTCAGCACTGCTTCTTCTCAGGGTTGTGGTTTGCTTGCGCCGCCAGGCCCAAAAAGAAGCAGAGCGAGCTGCTTTGCATCCCGGCTTGAAAGAGATGTCTTTTGTTGGCCTTCTGAGTCTTACGTCGTCTTACGTCCTCAGCTGTGGATGTACTTTGACCCCCTCTCACAGAGTTCAAGGAAGCCAGCATGATGGGCTTGCTCTGTGTGGACATGCCATGAAGCTGTTGTGACATGTAGTCCCAGGAATGGCAAGGCTGCAGACAAAAAGGCTGGAGACCAGGGCATCGGACGGGAGAACTGTTTAGCCAACAGGGAATGCTTGAGCTTTTGAGCAAGAGAACTTACAGCTGAAGTGCCTAGACTTATGGCGGCTGTGTTGCCTGCATCCTAGTTCCCTGCACTCCTTTGTCTCGTTCTTCATGAGGGCGATAAGACGGCCAAGAAGAAGGATGAGCCGAAGGCCGCACCAAAGGCAGACGCCAAAGCGGACGAGGTCCGAATGATGGCACCCCGGTGGATCCTAAGTCTATCGCAAGATGCTGCGCAGGCAACCTTCAAGGATATCGACGAGGCTTTCGCTGCCTCCGGCAAGGATGCCGCAGACAAGAAGGCCTTCTCCGTGAGGGAACTAGAGAACACAGACTGTCGTGTTGCTTTTGTAGCCGTCACGGCGTGTCGAAAGGCCGTTGCCATCAGCACCCTGGAAGCTTTGTGCGCGGCCACGCCGTTCGTTCTGCCAAGGCTGCTACAGCTGATTGCAGCTGAATTGAGCTTGAAGTGATGTGCGTTGGCATTCCACCTGATATGGATAATGACGTGAGGCTGCCACAGCTCATCCCCCTCTTCGACAACAGCAAGCTGGCAGCACCTGCTGTCAAGGCCCAGGGAGACTGCGAACCCTCCCTCGCTTGCTCTCTCTCAAAATGTGTGTGGTTGGTCCCGCTTCCTTCGTGCCTGGGTTCAAACTTGTTCCATTGATTACACTCGTGATTCTCGTGATGCAACAGTCTTTCCCAGCTTACCCTCTGGTAGACTGTTGCTTGCGTCGTCACCTGGAACGCAGTCTATCCAGTTTTGCTTCAGACCCCAGCATCGGGCCAGGCAGCCACGGCAATCGTTGAGGCAGTTGCCCCGAAGGGTCATGGCATCGCAGCACGAGGCTAAGCTGTCTGGTGCCAGAGTGGACGATCAGGACGATCAGCTAGCAACACATTCAAAGCGGCAGACAGATCTTCCTCCAGTCAGTTTGAGCAGTTATTTGTCGTAGAGTAGCTCTCGAACTTCCTCGATTTCAGGCGGAAGGCTTGACGGAACCTCCTGTCTAAAGGGCCATGTCATTCTCGCGTGCATGCAAAGGCACAGCGAGACACAGTTGGTCACAGTCGTGCATCAGTCCCTGCCAGTGCAGTATACAGTACAAAGTATATAGTACTGGACGTAACATGTCAATCGGGACAATTCGTTCTTCTCAGGAACTGGTAATGCCAACCCTTCTGGCCGGCATCGACGACAAGAAGTGGAAGGTGAAGGTTGGGTGCATCCAGGCTCGCCTTCCCGAGAGCACTTTTGTCGGCCTTCCTCTGCTTAGTGAGCCTTGAATGATCTTGGATGCACCACGGTCTCAGCCTGGTCCAGGTCATGCTTCCAGCGCTTAAGCAGATGGAGGATCTCGTCCTCATCAATTTCTTCTGCAATTTCCGGATCTTGTTCTGATTATTTCAGTCCCTATGAGCTGCATGCGTGCCACCTAGCAATAGGCGGGAGGGTCCATTCAGTGCAAGTTGACTTTGACACTGAAGCCTCACAGGAGGGTGTCACCACGCTGCAGCTGTCCCAGTGGCTGCCCACAATTGTGTCCAAGCTTGCCGAGGCACCCAACCGTGGCACGAGGTCTTGCCAAACACGCCATTCCGAGTTTGCTTCAGTCTATCATCAGGCCGCTTTGGAAGTCCGCGCGGAGATCCGAACAGCAACAGGCAGCCGGGTCTTTGCAGATCCTGCCTTTGGTCCGCTAAGCTTAGCCCACGTACGTTTCGTGCTGGCCAGGGGCGGTCTTGAAGGAGATCGGCGCTTTTGTTGCCAGCCCGGAGATCAAGGTGCCACGACGAACACCCCCTGTGAAGCCCCTCAAGCCCTGACGGCCACTGAGCAGAAAGATACGGTACGATGTCGCGCGAGCGAGCTGCGGGTCTGTGAAGATCTGTCGTTACCAGACTTCTGCTGTCCTACCCATCGAGATCCTGCACTTGTAAAGATCTGCGTCCTTCCCGAGCATCGGTGAAAAGGGCAATAGCAGTAATATCTAGATCGAACGGCTTTTGGAAGACGAAGAAGCCTCAATGCTCCGGACGGTTGCAACTTGAAGTTTTCAACACACATGTCGTCTTGGAACTGTCATGATTGCTCGAAAAGCCTATAGTTTCGAAGACACATTCGTGCACACGACAATCTGGCCGTGCATTTAGCCCGCCCCTTTTTCTGTTCGACCTCGCGCTGGTTGCACGACCACGTCTGCCAAAATCATGGCAAACATGGGCTGACAGCTTGACGGACGTGCTAGAGGCATGAAATCGAGGAATATATTGCGTAGCCAGTTGAGCACATAATCTGTGCCTGTGAGCGCTTAGATCAGCCTTCTCTATGCTTCTGTGTCTTGCCTCGCACTTCCGCCACAGATGGCGGTCGGTAGCAGCCCTTTCTGAGAGTGTGCATCAAACGTGAGAGCATTTCTGGTTCTGATCCTGTTCGGGAACTGTGTCCCGACCAGGCGCTCTCGACGGATCTTGTCACGGCCCTTGCAGAGCCTACGAATCAAAAGCACACCCAGGCCGGGTAGCTTGGCTAGCCCGTGACTGCCTTGCCAGCGCTACCAGAGTTGTAATGCCGGAACTCTGCATCACTCTATGTAGAGAAGGTCGTCTTTTGCACTGGTAAAGGCTGTTACAGGCGTAGCTTTTCGATACCTAGAAACTGGATGGGGCTTCAGGTCATTGTCCATCAGCCAAGCACTGTTTCTGCTGTTGTGATCACAGTTGCAAGAGTGAGCGGGAAATTGTGGTGGCTTTGTTGGGCAGCTTGATGTACGATTCGGTGGGTTACTGCTTCGAGATGTTCAAGAGACGCTGCATCCTTGCATTGCTGGCAGGGTGTCCTCGCAAAAATGGGCAACACCACCTTCAAGTCAATGATCGACGAGGCGAGCTGTCATGAAGCTTTAGGAATCAGGAAGTGCGGCAGCTGTCTGACCCCGTGGCCTGCTTGCAAGGGGTGTAAAAACACCGGAGCATCTGAGGCATCTTTGGCCTTGCTCTTGCCCATCGTCATGCGTGGTCTCAAGGCCTCCGAACGAGCTGACTTCCGATTCGTGAGACTTACGAAGAGCACATCGAAGATACCACCTGCGCATTTCTCCCACAAGCCGCCCAGCACATAGTGCAAGCTTAGACCATGTTCACATCTTCTAAAACAATCGTGTACCCATGCGGGCTCCAGGTTGCGGCCAAAGCTTTGTAAGGACTTGTTCCGCAGCTTCTTTTGCTGGAGTTGCCAGGACAGAGAAGCCACAAGCAAGAAGTGGTCAGCACAGATTCTTGGATCTGCTGCACTTCTCGTCCGCTACTGAGAGCTTTCACTTGCCACTTCCAGCGACAGAGACGGCGGTGTGAAGTGTGTCAGCATGTTCGTGCATGCAAGAATGTTGCGGTCAGAATACGAGCCGAGTTTATCTGTGCTCGGGAATTGCACTTTCAGGTGCGTGATGTGGATTTCCTCAAGCATCTAGGCAGCAACGCGAGTAGGCTCTGGTCACATGTATGCAGCATCAGTTGGTCGCCTGTTGCGGACTTGGTGTGCTGAGGCCTTACCTCAAGCCTGCGTTTTCCCTTCTCCAGGCATCTTGCCTGACTTCAGTTCCCAGGATGCCTAGGTAGGTATTGAATTGTTTGAGAGGGTTTGGTGCGATCCTTGGCCACGTGGACGAGTGTGGCAGCAGCCGAAAGTTGAGTGTCCGTCGTCTGAAAAGTGCGCCTGCAAAGTGTCGAGGCAGCTCTGAACGACTCCGTCCCAGAGGTGCGGCGAGAGGCTGCCAAGGTCGGTGCTGCATCCAGCTGTGGCGTTCATGGTCCGAGTATGTGCTGCTTCATTCCGCAGGCATTCGGCATTTTGGAGCAAGTGCTCCCTGAATGGTCTCGCACTGTCTGCCAGCCAGCACCTCAGAGCCGTGAAGGACTGTGAGGGCGAGGGCCAAGTTGTGGCGAGAAGAAAGTGGTGGTGACGGGGTAGGAACGCCTGTGGTGCTGCTGATGCTGCCAATGCCCATGCATTACATATTATCATGAGATGAGGGCAAAGGTGCAGGCTTGCGACGACTAGATGCACGTCTGTTGCTGCTCGCTGACGACTTCAAGAAGAGAGCGCTGTCGACAAGCAGTATCTAGCACCTCTGTGGAGAGTTAAAGACAAGCTGAATCGGCAAGGCCCTACCTCTTCAGCAAGCTGCGCGCTGGCGATGCCTCCGAGCAGATCGGGGCATCCCTGGGCCTGGCCGAGGTCTTCGTACGCATGGAGAAGGCCAGGATGGGCCAGGCAGAGGGCAGAGAGAGCAGGGAGGGCAGAGAGAACGTGTCAAAGTACACACCAAACCGGGCTCAGATTGAAAAGAAGGAAAAGACGCCCTCAAAGTGTGGCAGCCACTGCGCGGGCTTGAGGCCAAACTCTCGCAGCTCATTCCGGAAGTACAGAAGGCTCGTCGTTCATCGCTTGAAAGGAGCGCTTTCCCAAGCGGATGATCTAGACTCTTGACCTCAGGGCGCCAACGACGAAAAGTTGGCTGTGCGACGAGGGTTCCTGGAGCTCATGGACACAATGCCGCAGGTGCACGGCACCGCCGCCTGTAGCTCAAGCTTCTTTCTTTCTCATGAACAGGCCATGAAGATGGACTTCGTTCCTTTCATTGAGCGCTTGTTCCCTGCTATGCTCATGGGCGTCACTGGTGAGAAGGACCGAGACGGCGTGGTGCGGCTAGCATCTTGCAGTATGCGAGCCGAACAGAGGGAATTGCTCAAAGGACATCACCGATGATCCAGCCCTCAAGGCATCTCGCTTTCGTCGCCAAGGCACGGGCTGATATCTTATGGTTTCTGCTTTGAGGCCGCCCAGGCCCTCGTGGGCCGCTTCGGCGATCTGCGGGCTGCTCGGGGACGCTCCGGGACGGCTGGAGGGGACGGCTGGGTCCGGTCCTCCGCTTCGTGCCGTTTCTCAGGTGCCCGGAGCTGCTGATCTCCGCCTTCGAGGCTGGGCGGCGCATGCGGCGCATGCGAGGGGTGTTGTTCCTGTCCGCAGGGCGCGTACGCCGCCGCCCTGGGGCTAGAGCCTCAGAGCCTCAGAGCTGGGCGGGAAGTTCCCCGGCGCCCGAAGGCCCGAAGGAGTTCTCTGACAGGTCAGGCGATTGGAAGAAGTTTCAGATTGTGCGCGAGAAGTCCATGCAGCTCCTCCTGAAGACTGCGGAGAAGATCCTTGAGCACAAGAAGCAGCTGAGCAAAGATATGCACTCCTTGAAGCGGTTCGAAGAAGCGAAGAAGTTCTTCATACTCAGGTTCGGCCAAGACCTCTTGACCTGTGACGAGTGCTCATCGAAGGATGGGGAAATCCCTTCGAAGTGTGTACTAGCGCTTGCTGCTGCTTGGGTTGTTGTGGAGATGAAGACAGCAAGCCATGTCGCATGTGCCTTTGGAGCTTCTGGCTTCGATGGGGCTCCGTGCTCAGTGCTCGGCAGGAAATCCGACTCCGAATCCTGATCCTTGCCTTCGTGGCCCGCAACGATCCGGATGCTGCGGTGAAGCGCGTGGCCAGCAACGTCTGGCCGGGCCCTGAGTGAGTCCATAGGGAAAGGTATAGCGTGACTGCTTGTTCTCGGTTTGACACTGTCCCACTGGTTTCTATCAGTTGGCTGACGCGTACGGCGTAGACATGGCCTCATGCTGCGACCTTGTGCATCCTGCTGTGCTCGCATCGCCGAGGAAGACCTCTGGCGGCTCACCCAAGATGCAGTGCCCTGGACTATCGCGAGATATGGCCAGTTAAGACCAGTTCAGGCAGTGGGACACAGGAATTGGCCGCAAACTGCTTACCAAGGAAGACCATCGCCCAAGAGCTGAGCGACTCAATTGCAAAGTGGCGTTCAGGCGGCGTCCCCCCTTATCCAGCTGTGTAGATCGGGCTCCAGCGGTTGGACCTGCAGGTGCCATGGGTGCCGGGCTGCAGAAGGTTGCAAAGGAAGCACTTGCCGAGCTGGTCAAGGTGCCCGGGCAGAACGTGATCGCACTTTGTCTCTGGCTCTTTTGGGGAGAGGTGTGGGAAGTGAGGGCTTTGGGCTCTGGGATCCGGAAACAGGCCGGCGATGCCGAGCAGCCCGCGGAGGAGCCCGAGGCGGTTTTGCCATGAGACCCTTTAAGCTGACACTCTGTGCCAGATTATAGTATTAGTATCAGTATGAATATGAATATTGGTACTAAAATTAGTAGTGGTATTAATAATATTGGTATTACTAATATTGGTATTAGTATTAATATTGGTATTGGTATTAGATTAAGTAACAAAATGTTGCACAGTGTGTAAGCTTTCTGGAGCTTTCTGGATCCGGGAGGCCGTGAAGACTGACTTCGCCTTCGAGGCTGCGAAGACCTCGAACGAGGAAGCCGCTCGCATCGCTGCAGGCCTCTGGTTTAGGGTTTAGGGATCTCTTCTCAGTAGGTCTTGATGTTGCGCATAAGGAAGATGCGTACGTTGAGCAGAGTAGGAGAATGCAGAGAAAGCTATACGAAGCTCAGATTCGCCTCAATGCGATGTGCATTATGTTGGACACGCCACGGCGCATGCTTCGTGCGTGCCATCACGGGCAGAAGCGGGTGCCAGTCCTCCTCTGTGACCAGTTGGGTTTGAGCTGTGCGACCAGGCGAGTCTCCCAACAGTCAAGAGGAAGGTGATACTGCCACGAAGGAGGCGACTTGGATCGACTGGGCCCCTTGAAGGGTGGGAGTTCACTAAGTCAGAGCCGAGGATTGCCAGATGGTGAAAGCGGTGAGTGGTTTCTTCGAGCAGAAGACAGAGTTTGGTTCCCTGCCAGGTGCTGTATGTTGCATCTTGCTGGCCGATCTAAATTGCAGAGTCTTTGCGAGGAGACCTCCAGAAATTCCTTTTGGCCGTTTCTGCCAGTGTCATCCGAGAGGGCCACAAGAAGAATCTCTGCTGCAATTTTCGGAAAGCCTTGTCTTGGCCAAACGTGGCTTCCCTTTGTTTGTTTGGATGAATACATGTTGGCCGGCCACCCATTCTTTCCAGCTGCTAAGGAAGATGCCGGGACCCAAGGTCGTGGAGGACTGACACGACGAACATTCTGGGACCTCTTTGCTTTAGCTTTCGCATGGTTTCGCGGTGGTTTCTTGGGGGGAGGAGCTTCAACTGGCCCTCCAGCAAGCTTGCGGCTGCTGCAAGGAACAGGCAGATTCAGATTAGAAGGGAGCTTTTCTGTTGTTTTGAATTCGAAGAAGCTTGTGAAGGCCGAAGGCTTCCTCAAGACGTTGCCGGAGTCGTCGGAGGCGACGAGATCCGATTGAAGCGTTTGTTTGCAAAGTTCTCAAAGCGCCAGAAAAGAAATTCTGCGCTGGCAGGCCGTGGATAAAGGTACCAGGTAGCATCAATGATTTTATCATACGAGAGGCCAGCTAGGCCTCAGCTGTGAGGACTGATTAAAATTGGACGCAGCAAGCAACAATAGCTTGAGAAGTGATGCAATAATACATGGCCATCCTCCGCCTCCTCCTCCTCCTACTCTTCCTGTCCCTACCACCCCTACCACCCCTACCACCCCTACCACCCCTACCACCCCTACCACCCCTACCACCCCTACCACCCCTACCACCTACCACCTACCACCTAACAACAGCACCAGCACCAGCACCACCAGTCCGAAGAACGTTTTCAGCTTGCGCTCTGGAGATGCCGTGCGATCTCTGCCGAGCCGTGGCACCAGCTCCAACCGGTCTCCGCACGTGGAAAACCCTGGACAGGCTGTTGCGCGTGCGGCCCTCGGCGCGGACTTCGATGCCTTGGCGGGTGCGAGATCCTGGAGTCCCGGGGTGGTCACGGGGCGCAGGGTTCGAGGGCAACGGAAGTGTGCGCCGACATGTTCAGGGTTTTACAGCATGACGGGGGTTCCACGAAAAGGGTTTACCGACGAGATCAGAGTTGCGAGAGACCCTGCCTAGGGTGACTGGTTTGATGGCAGGCGAGGGTTACGATGCCGATACGCTGTTGCGCGTGGAGAACATGCTGCTGATGCCCGCCTGCAGAGTGGTAGTCATGGGGCATGGGAACACTGCTTCGGGTTCTGGAGTATTGCCCTGCGGTCCTGATGGACAGGGCTGCTGGTTTTGTCCCAAACTTTAATTCCTTTCCAGACCTGCCAAGCACCACAGGGCCAGTGCAGTTTCAGATTATGAGAGACTCGGGAGTATGCGTTGTTGCTATCCGAGGATGTACGGCGCAGGCAAGCTCCTTCTGAAGGAGATTTTCTGCTGTACACGTTCTCCTCCCTTCATCCGTACCTGCAGGGTGACTGCCGTGGCGCCGACGGGATAAGTACCAGGATAAGTCATAAGCGCCTGGCAGGACACGCTCCTCGAACTGAAAGCAAATCGTCGCTACGGTGTCGTTGGTCACAACGGTGCCTTGCACTGCAAAGGAATGCATACATGTTCGTTGAACATCTATGCTGGGTGCTGGACCTGTCTGCATGCTTGCAAGTAAAGTCCGCAAAAGCCGACGTGCCATGATGTCTCATGGATAGTTATGTTGTGCAGGAGCAGGCAAAACGACGTTGATGAAAGAGATCGTCCATGGCCGCATTGTGGGCATGCCGACTCATCTTCGCTGCGTTCACGTCGACGATTCCAAGCTGGGTGCGCACCCGCATAAGCCACTGTTTCATGCTGTTCTTCACGTGTCTGCTTCACACTGTGGCTGTCAGTGATTTGCGCTGGCAGGAGAGATGAGCAAAAGCAGCTTGAACGCCTTGGAGTACGCCTTGTGTCTGCAAGTTAGTGTCTTCAGGACAGTGCCGATGCACCGGTTCCAGAGCTTCTGTCCGGTCTGCTCAACTGCTACAAGGTGAAGATGAAGGCCATGGAGATTGGCGTCACGGATGCCAGCGCAGACAACCTCCGAAGAGTTGGCTTTCCAGAGAAGATGTCCGGGTCTGACGATGGGTCTTTGTGACCTTGGCCGATTGACACGGCATGTCAGCGCACGTCAGCGCACGTCATCAGGTTCGAGGTCCCAGTGGCCGAGCTTTCCACAGGATGGCGCATGCGGCTGACTCTGGCCGTGTCGGCGTCCGAAGCGAACTGATGGAACTTCTGCAGCTATCAGAGCGGAGTGGAGGGTTTGCGGCTCGTCGGCCTGCAGGTCCATGCTGAAGCACGCAGACATTGTTCTGCTGGATGAGCCCACGAATCACTTGGATCAGGCACTGGTCAGACTCAGCTGCTCCGACTGTCTCGATCTCTCGGAAGCCAGGAATCCGTGGACTGGCTTGGAGATTATCTCCTGAGTCTCACGAAGTCCTCCGTTATGGCTCCTTGTTCGATTCCTTTCTGTGCTCTGGCATGTCACGGTCAGGGAACGAGCCACATGTGCAGTCAGGTCATTTCCCACGAGCCCAAGTTCCTCAACAAGATCTGCACCGACATTATCTCCTACAAGGACTTTCGATGCCAAGTAGAGATAGCAACACCTCGCTGACCTGGCCCCCCAGAATCCTCGCCGCATAGGACAAGTCACTGGTTTACACCGCAAGCCGGCTGCAAGAAGACGGAACGGGTTGAACCTGCAATCGACACAACGCACAATCGTGGGCTTGGAGCGATGCCATTGGTATCTGGTATCTGCGACAGCCGAGGCAGGAAACTTCGATGCTTTCGTCATGGCCAAGGGCATCAAGGCTGACGACATCGAAGCGCTGCTTTCCGGCAACTTGAAGCTCGACGAGGCCTTACCCCTCGCATCCCAGTCTTTCGTCGTTGGGATCTGTTGAGTGCAGTCTGCTGAAGCCGTGAACATGTCGCACATTGAAGGACGAAGAGGGCGAAGAGGGCGGTGAGGACAAGAAGGCGGCCGTCGTTCAAGCTCCCATTGCCGGCCCGCCCAAGCAACCTGGTCGAACGGCTCGTGTGCAACAGTGCAAAGCATCCGCGGATGCCACGATGCCATGCTATGCCATGCTGCGTCTGGCATTGAGGATTGCATTCCCGATCCCTGGTTCCGTGGAGGGAGTGAAGTCGAGCTCGAAGGCACGCCTAAGCATGGCGAAGCCACACCTGTGTCCCCGAGTCCCGAAAGCCCTTTAGCTGCCGACTGCTGTGAAGCCGCTGCAGGCTGTGATTGAGTTCAAGAACTTGTCTTTCCGCTACGGCAAGGCTGGGTGGCGCAGGGTTCTGACACTGTCTTCGGGAGCACAGTGTCGGACCTTCGACTGAGAAGGACAAGGACTACCTGATCAGCGACGTGGCCGGCAAGCTGTCTTTGGGCTCTCGCGTTGCCATCTGCGGACGAAACGGCTGCTCTGCTCTTCTGCGTAGGGTTGACTTCGTGTTCCTCATGCGAACTGTCGGAAGCGAGTCGTGCTTGAAACGGCAGTTGTGGTATAAGGTTGCGGAAAGTCCACCCTCATGACGCTGATTTGTTCGGAGATGAATGCCACGGAGGGCAAGGACCTGCGGCAGCGCACCGCAGCCGGTGTGCGGAGCTGCATGACAGCTGTTGGCCTGCCATGACGTAGCCATTGACCATGATGCCAAACTGTACAGAAGACGGGAATCAAGTTGCCCGTAGCGACATGATGCAGCCGGACCAGCGCCCTACTGCAGGACGGCAAGCTCGGCGACGTGACTCGCCACTGCAACTTGCGAGTGGCCTACATGAAGCAGGTGCTTTTCGGGACTTCTCTGCATACTGTGCACTGACGCTCTGGGCGCCTGTTGTCAGGACCACCTTAAGACCCTCGGACCATACTTCGACGCTTTCTTGCAAATACATTTTGCCTTGGTCATGCAGATCACAGCTCAACCTTTCGTTGAAGTCACTGAGCGGTCACTACGCCCTTTCAGGACACATCTCCCTTGAACTACATCACCCAGCGGTTCAAGAATGGCTACGACGAGGCGCGCGCGCAGACTACGGACGCTTCTCGCGTTCAGGGACCTGCTTTCTTTTGTATCTGCTACTATTTTGGGGAATCCTTGTTATATCATATAATTATAGTAGAATCGGCCTCAAAACCCCAAACCCCTATCGACTGCAGGAGCTGCAGAAGCGCCTCATCGAGCCCGAAGACGACGAAGAGGCGGCTCGACGCGCCACCCTCGCCAAGCAGTCGCCCGGCGGCATCTGTGGGAAGCCGGGGAGCGTTTGCGAGTCGCGAATCGGCACATGACACCTAAGGCATGGAAAGTACGGGAATCAGGTCGGGGAGCTGCTGAGTCGAAGCAAGCAGGGCAGCCAGCTCTACTACGAGGCGCTGCTTGAATTTTTTTGCATCGGTCACCGATGTCAAAAGAAAGATGTCTGTCTTCGCGTGTCGAAAGCTTCGATTGTGGAGCTGGCAGGTCAAGTGGGAGGGCCTGGATGACCCAAAGCAGAGACTTGATTTCGATTCGTGTGCGTGCGAAGAGATGTAGCAGTACAGCATGGACGGGATTCGTTCTGCCAAGGAACACCATGGTGTCCCTGAAGACTTTGAGGGACATGAGCAGCTCCAGCGGCACTGGTTCAGGGTTTTGGATCGTTGTTGTGCTCTCCGTTTTGGGGCTTCTCAAAGCAAGATCGCACATGATTTGTGTCTCACTTTGCTTCGCAGGCCTCGACAAGGTCGTGATCGCCTGTGACGAGCGAATCGCCGCCAAGGTTGGTCTTGTTACCAAGATTGGTGTGTGCGTGTGCGCGCGGGTGTGAGCGCGTGCGCGGGCGCGCAGGCGTGTGTGTGTGTATATATATATATACATGTGTGTCTCTGTGTGTGTGTGTGTTTGTGTGTCTCTCGCAGTGCGTTTTGACGTCGGCGCAGGCTGCCGGATTGGACCAGAGGCCACTGACTCGAAGCAGCCCAGCCTGCACAAATACTGAACAAAGATGCTTCAACGGACGAAAGAGTAGGCCCAGAGGAATCTAGAGGTGCAGAGGACGACGTTTCGCCACCAAGGAGAAATCACCAAGCACTGCGAGGCCTTCGGCATTGACGAGGACTGGCCGTGAGTTTGTTCGTTTGGTTTTCGTTTCAGCTCCTGGTATTTTTGCACGGATGCTGTGGACCGACGTGGTCCAAGATACTCCGGCTTGAATTCGTGGACATCAGGTGCTCTGCAGTGCAGATTGCTTTGCAGGAGATGTGCTGCAACCAGCAGATTCGAGGATTCTCTGCTGGCCAGAAGGCCTTCTAAATTGAGTTCGGGATAGCTGTTGACGAAGATTCAGGGCCAGAGAGTCGATGCAATGGGCATGACGGCATTGTGCTGTTCCTTCTTTCTGCGTACGAGCTACCACATTCGTTCGAAAAGACCGTCGCTTGAATGACGAGTTTTAGGTGCGCCTGTCGTTGGCTGCTATGTCTCTTGACAGCATTGTGTGATATCGTGCGCGCAAAAGGGTCTCCTTCTTTCAAGCATAGGGCCGTTCAGAAATAGAAGAGGGCCGCCCTGTGAGGGGTCCGTTTTGAATGGTTCTATAAGGGTTGCTTTAAGGGCTTGGTGTAGGGACCTTGATAGTTAGACGGGTTTTGGCTTATATGACTAAGAAAACAATATCCTGTCCCTGTTCCTGATTGGAAAGCAGAGCGCTATTCGGGCGCGTCCCAAGGGAACAGTAATACTGAGCCCCAGGAAACTTGAGAGAAATATGAGCAGCATGCCACACAGGAATCCTCACAACTTCAGGTTCTGGACGAAGCCCCATTTCATTGCCGTGGATGAGCCCACGAATTACTTGGACGTCGAGACGGTCGAAGCTCTGGCAAAGGCCTGGCAGGGAGTGCCTCGGATAAGCTCACATGTCTGGGTTCTTGTTAAGGAAGTTAATATAAGTTAGCATATTAGGGATCTATAGTAAATAATGTAGTTTCCTTGTTTACCAAGAACCCGGATGTGGCAGATTCAGGTCAGGGGCACAGGTACATAGAGGGGTACGTGTAAGTGTACTTAAAGGCTCATGGGGTTTAGTAACTAGGGTTATCAATAAGGTAACGAGACTTACAATTACTTACATCCTTAATCACGGTACTCATATCTTTGCTTGCTAGGTCCCATGATCCTTTTACGTGTTGAGTGAAATAAGCTCCAGCTTGGCAGGCCTTGAACAACTTCAGAGGAGGTGGCCGTGCTTGTCGGGGGATGTTGGGGATGTGAATGGATTTAAGACTTGGCAGCGGCATGCAGCGGCGTTAGGCATCCTGATGATTGAGCCCAAGATGGACTTCGTCGAGAAGGTTTGCAATGAGACCTGGACCCTGGAAGATGGCAAGCTCAAGGTGGAGAGGCTCAGGCTGCAATCAGATCTTGCTGTCCTATGGAATCGCATGCTCAGCACATGAGTTTGGCCGACAAGGAAGCTTGACAACGGCCTGAAGCGTGTGGCGTGAGAGTCCAGCTTGGCCCGGGCTTCATAAAAATGATGCAAGTGCGGGGCACGTTTGCACCTGCAGCCTCTGAACATACAACTCAGGCTTTCATCCCCGGTTAACGTCGAGGCAAGGATGAGGGTTCGTACAAGGCAGCATGATCCCCGACAGCAAAGATGATAGGTCCACCAAGATGCCATCAATGCACATTACGCTTAGCCCTTCCAGGCTAGCGGCTGGACATGCCGCTGCCGAACACGAATGGCTTGGCAACACACTTTTCCCAAAAGTGCCATAATGACTTGTGACAGGTTTCTGCCACCGACTGTCGCCAACATCTAAAACTGATGTCGGAATGCAACATAGAAATCGAACTTGATGAGCACATTCACCTTGGTGGGGCTGCAGGCCCAGGTAGCAGTAATCTGTATTGTTTTCCCCGGTGCATCTTTGCATCTCTTGCCTGCATGTACAGCACCAATTCTGATTCTGCCTCACCCAAAGCAACCCGCAGGAGCGTGCCTCCAGAAGCCGGGATAGAGCAGCCCATTCGACTGACATGCGTGCCCGCGCCTAGGATTTCAGAGGACCTCCAGATCTAAAGGGTGTATGCCGGTTCACACATCAACAGTTAGAATGCGTCGATGGAACAGAAGGCTGAGTCCGCTCGAGGGGTGACATGAGTTTGCCAATCAGGCAAAAAGAAATGAGTGAACCGATCCAATTTACAGCAGCCTCAGAATCGTGTTGGGACCGTGAGTTCGGGCAGAAGTTCAGCGAATGGCTGCGAGGCGAATGGGAGGCAGCACAGTATGGCGGGGAGCAATTGTTCTGTCGTGCAATGCTAGAATTCGCCTGGTTTACCCCCGCCTCTGTGCTTCGAATCCGTCTGCTGTGGCAGACACTAGGCAATTTTTGCACGTGGCGGTCAAATGTGCCGCCCTGATTTCTTGAGGGAGTCTTGCATCTGACAGATGTCGGGGCAAGACTCGACATGTTTGACTTGTGCATTTTCCTGTCATGACCTCCTGTTTCGTAGAGCCCTCCCGCTTGACATTGACACGGGCATAGTATGGCACGTGCAGGAGACAGTTTCAATCTGTTATCTTAGTGACTCTCATTCTCCATCGTTCTCCTTCGAAACTTGAGCCATGCGGGTGGGAGCCGTACTGACCGGAGCGAGACGAACTTCGCTTCGGCGCCTCGGCAGAAGAGTACTTGGGCTTGGTCTTTCTGGGAGTAGGTCAGAAAACGAAGGAGGACTCTTCGTCGCGCGGCGAAGTAGGATCAGCAAGATGATGAAAGGCAAGGCTTTCGAGAGGGCCTTTGTGGTCTCGTGTCTGGGAGCTGATGCTGCTCCACGTTGACTTCCGAGGCCGCCGGCCAGGGCAACAGGCACGAGATGCATCCACTTGGCTTCTTGTCCAAAGTGTTACCGTCGCTCTCATCGGATGTTTCCATCGGTCGCTTCGGTCGCTTCGGGTCGCTCGGAACTCGGAAGACTGGCGCAGGGCACTTCCACGGTGCCGCGGAGCTCAAACTCGGGCCTCATGCTCGGGCCTCGGCGGCCTCTTTGCTCCGACTGGCTGCGAGTGCCTTGAGTCTGGAGGCCTTGGAGCAGGAGGCTGTTGGGCACGGCATAGTGCCTTGATGCAAAATTCTGAGTGCTGGCTTCGTGATGGGCAGCTTCCGGATCTCTAGGGAAGGCAATTGCGCGAGGCGCCATTTCTTTGGATGCAAACGTTGCTTGCATCTTCTCCGAGGTGTTTGGTGCCAGGAGGCCGACCTGAGGAATTCTCAGCGATGCGCAGCAACCCGGCTGCTTAGCCGTGGGGGTGGGTGTGTCAGCTTACGAGCATCGCAAAAGTTGGCAGGTTCCGTTCAGGTTCTGCTTCCGGTAAATCAACTCCAATATCACATTTGCAGGCATTTCGGCTCAGCAGGAATCTCGTTTCAACTCCTGGCTTCGAATTCGCGGTGCCTGGCGCCCCAGAACGAGTTCTACGATGACAGCGGCCTGTTGGGTGAGGACATACAGCAGGTGTTCACGCCGCAGGTGATAATGCAGCTTTGCAACCAGGCATGGCTCAAAGAAAAGCATCTCTTCTGCATCTACCGTGCAAGTCTCAAAAAGGAGACGCATGTAGAAGCGCAAGAGGCAAGAGTGTGAAAGAGGGAGGCCGAGTCGGAGGATCGCCTGAACGAACTGAAGAAGTTCCAGCTGAGGGCTCAGAAGCTGGATGCAACAGGGCAAGCACCGAAAAGTGCCTCCACCGATGTGTGTGTGTGTGTGTGTGTCGAAGCAGACGAGGGCACCACGACAGAGATTTACACTGCGGCCGATGCTTCTGGCAGCACTGGAAGTGGCAGGCAGCTTCACTGGTGAGAACCCAGTGCCGACTTTATCCGCAAACATCGTCGTGTAACAACGATGCTGGAGAGTGCGTGGCAGTCGTGAACTTCGTTGCTGCTACGGTGACGGACAGCTGTCCCAACCCAACACTGGGGCAGGATTCCGTGACCGATGCTACTTCAGCATGTTCGGTGCAAGATTTCACTCTCCTGTTTTGCAGTGGATCCGTCAGCGCATGGGAGCACTATGCCTCATGGGCTCCCTTCCATACAGCCCTCTCCTTGGCTGGGGCCCGAGTCCCGTTTTGGTGTGGGTCCCACAGTATCTCTTCAGGTGCGCATGTGATTTTATGATCCGGTACTGGCAGAAGCGGCTGAAGACCTTGGCATGCAGCTACGACCAAGAGTGACCGTGTCGAGATGAGCCTCGATGTCATCATCGGGGTACGTCTACTTCCTGTGCTCCTGTCAACGGGACACGCATTCCCAGAATTCGTAAGTGCTAATGAACATCACACCGGATTCGCCAATGAAAGGAACCAGGTCATCTGATGTACCCTGACCACTGATGAAAAGGCTCGAAGGCCATGTCCACTCGCTGATAAGACAGCACAAGGCAGACTTTGAATTTTTGCGTAGCTCTGAGACCGAGCTTGTTCTTGTTGCAGCTTTTGGCAGAGGCCTCCGCCATGTCCGAGGATGTGCTTCGGGTGCGAATCCTTCGACATGGCGATGGGACTACAATCCGTGATCTTTACCAAGCAAGAGGGTTGATCATGCGATCCGTGATGGCCCTGCGCTGCACATGCACACCCCACTCAGCCGTCAACGTGGCTTACGAGTTCCGAGGGATCAGGGTGTTGCCAAGACGGAAAAAGGCATTCTGTTCAGTGCCATCCTGTGCGCATGTGGTGTAGGGACATGTCGGGGTCTGCAGGACGTGGTGCAAGGATATTTCGTGTCGTAGAGCATACAGTGTAGGGATAAGCTTGCCCTACACAGCTTGCCAAGTGATCGCCTTCCCGGATACCTGCCCACCCCCGATGCTTCCCCTGATGACTTCTCAGGTTTCTCTGCCAAAACTGGCGACACACGCGACCAGCGTGTGCAATCGAATTTAGCCTTTCAGCCGGCTTTTCAGCCAGCTCTTGCACCCATCGTTGCGATGAAGCTCAGTGCTTTCCCGAAGGGTATAGGCTCTCAACACGACTCATCTTGCTTCTGTTCTTGGGGGAAAAATCTATGCGTCTGGTCCTGGAAATTTGTGCAAGAGATCTGCATGTTGAGCGACAGTCGTGGATTATCGCTCCGCAGCTGTGCTTACGGGCTCTGATAGGCCCCGGTGACTCTAGTGTTTGTCCAAAGCGCTGAGATGAAGCTTCTGCTTCTACTCCCCCTGGCAGCGAGCCTGGGGACCGTGCTTGCTGACGGGGAAGACCCGCTGGCAGCGGCTGTGGATGACGCCGCCTGGCGAGCATGTACGGAAGCATTAAGGTGGAGTGTGGCTTCGAGCTCAAACCATGCCTGTGTTGTGTGGGCACGGTAGCTCTTTCGCTATGAATCCGCGGCCAAAGGTTACAGTATACCATGGATATCCGCACTCAACTTCAACCTTTAGATGTGCACTTGCAGAAGCCTCGCTTGACGCCGAATTGCCTCGGCTTGCAAGGTTTGGGCCTTGAATCGGACCACATGCACATCTCGTAGTAGACTCCCAGTCTGGCTGAACCGGCTGAGCCTCCTTACAGCTCCCCACGACGAAGCCCCACAGGGTTGCTTTCGGAGAGGCATTCGGCAATAATTATACCGCTTTGCTGTTGCATCCATGTGCTCCCAGCTGATGCTACATCTCAGGAATGCGCCGCGGACATGCCATGTGCGTTGCAGGCCCGATCCGTCCCAAACCTGATGTCGGCTTGAGATTTCGTCGCCAAACCCGAAAGGCCACCCAACTGCGTGCGCAGCGATCCCAGTCTGAGGTGGGCGATGTCATCTTTGCTTGTTGCTCTCGCTGACTTACGATGGCCTGTGTTTGCTTTTCCGAAACTTGGCCTGAAAGCAGGAGATTGAGAACATCCACGAAAATGACGGAGATGCCGCCAACACATCGGATCGTCAGTTTGCAAATGTCAGCGATGAGACGGCTTCAGATCTAGACGAAGTTCAGGTGGGACAGCAGTAGATTGTGCATCAGTCGCAGAGGCTGTCTTGGTGAAGTTACCAGGAAGTGCATCTTGGATCCATCGCAGATGGTCCGGAGGCGAGCTATACCAAAGAGCCTTCAGCCGCAGTTGAGGCCAAATCTTGCAGTTCCTTTGTCACGACGTCTCAAGTGGGTTGTCTGCTTCGTGCACACACGGCGTTTGTCGTGCTGTTGCAGCTTTAAGGAAGAGTTGATGGCCTTGATGGCTCTAGGCCGCAGCGAGCAGCACCAACGCACCAATGGCACTGATGAGTGGGGAAGTTCTGGGCCGACGCAGTCGTTTTCTTACACCAAGCAATGCTACAGCAGCCGAGTTGCACTTACGTAGTCTTCGCCGCCTTTTTTTGAGCTTCCCCGGCAACCTCAAGTGCAGTGTGATAAACTCAATGTTCAGTGTCTTTCTTGCAATCTCCCCAGCTGGAGCAGAAGCATATCTTTATGAGTGCGAACACCTGAGGTTTCACTGGCGGCGTTTGCACCAGCAGAATCTGTGATTACAACCGGATGTCCCAGTGCGTCTCCGGAAAGTGCGCCAGCATCTGAGCAGATCTTGGGGAGCTTGACATGCCTTGCAAGGCGCGAAGAGCCCCTTTGACTGTGACGCACTGTGAGGTGTGCCCGGGTGGCTGTGCTGGGGCAGACGGCAGGCTAGGAGCTTCAGAAGCGGCCAAGCCGGGTCTTTCGAAGCCTTTGGCTCTGCAAGGTGCTACAATGCCGGCAACATTCTCGTGGCCAGTGGCTTCACTATGAAGAATGCAACTGATATGCAAAGTAGAACTGATGGATCGACGGACCAGCTAAGCAAAGGCACATGTTGCTTCGGATTTCTTTCATGTGCAAAGATACCCCAGCACTTCCATGGGAAGTTACAGAGTACAATCCTGTGCCTGTCAGGTGAAGTGGCCGAACTACAGGATGTATTTCAAGCGCGACCTGGTGAAGACTTTCGAACGAGAGTGACCGAGAGATACTTCAGAACTGCCGTGCGGAGGAATGTGGGATCTTGGGTCTCACGGGCTTCGAGAGTCTCGAGAGCTCTATGGTTGGTTCCCAAAATTATGGTCCCTTTTTGGGTACCCTAAATAATAGGTGCCGTATTATAATAAGGACCCAAAAGGGACCCTAATGTTGACAACCACCCCTATCTCCTATCGCGGCGAGAAAGCCGGAAGTAAGGAGTGAGCGCCTTCAACCAGATGGGCACATCCAGCATGCCGAGTTTCAGCTTCATGGGCTCGGACCGCTTCGACCTCTACCGGGTCCCAGGCCCTTTTAGTCGGGAGGATTCTTTGAGGTGCCCAGGGTGGGATGCTGTTTCAAAAGAAGCTTCTGTTAATTAGGGAATATACCTTGAATTCTAATAGGGCGACTACCATAACTTGGAGTATTTTCCCTAATTCTCCACGATTGGAGCTCCGCGGTTGTATGCGACAACTGGGTTGGGGACCTGCGCTAGAGATGTGCGTGCAGTGGCCCGACAGTTTATGGGTTTGCTCAAGTCCATCAGGGCCCAACCGACCGCGGCTTGGGAAATGGACATAGTCATAAATTTTGTCCGACCTGCGTGTGAACTCAGTTGCGGCCAAACTTGCAGGGATGCGCTCGTGGCTGCTGCAGTTCTTGACAGTGTGTATTGACTGCATGTCAGAGACATCTATGCCTTCAGGCGACAGGCTGACAGAGGCAGATCCTGCATCTGCACTACTGTCGTTGCTACTTGCGCAAGGCCTTTTCAAGGGGAAGGCCCTGTACTTCCTCGCTTCGCACAAGTGGCCTGAGTACGTGCTCGTGCCTCGGCAAAACGGCCGCCGCAGCTGGTCTGAGGGGACGGGAGCTGATAGGAGGCACGACTATGTTAATGTGCCTCTACCTATAACAAGGTCACCGTTCCACTAACAGCCGTATCTCGCCTAAATCAGGTTGTTGTCTGTGTCTCTGAGGCCATTCGAGCCACAGTTGGAACTGCATTCAGCCCATTTGGCACGTACACCGTCAAGTTGAAGGACTTGCCATGAGTGGAATGTTGCAGCTTCATGTCTTCCACTTCCGACTGCCTCTCGATGTCGGTCACACAGCCTAAGGGTCCCCATGATCATCATAAACCCTAAACCCTAAACCCTAAACCCTAAACCCTGAACCCTAAACCCTGAACCCTAAACCCTGAACCCTAAACCCTTTTTCGGAGAAAAGGTGCAGTTCAACTTAAAAAAAACCCTAAACCCTAAACAGGGGGCTTTTGGGGGCCCGCCCTGAGGACTCCTCCGCGCCATGGAAGCCGGAGCCTCGCCTCACGGGTCATCCCGCAGTCCGGGAGTTTCCGAAAATGGGGGGACCCCGAAGGTTTAGGGGGCTTAGGGGTTTAGGGGTTTGGGGCTTAGGGGTTTGGGAGTTTCCGGAAATGGGGGACCAGAAAAAAGTACCCAAATGGTAGGATTCTTATTATAAGGACCCCAGAAGAAGGCACGCCTAATTTTCGGAAACCCACATTGATGGGTTGTGCCAGTATTGACTGTAAAGGGTACATCACCGAATATCTCGTTTGTAGTTTTTGCCAGCAGTTGCGACTGCAAGAATGCAGCAGGTATGCACTCGGAGGCTTCTTGCGCAGCAGAGAACTGTACCTTCGGGCTGTAAGCTCTTGGGGGCCCCCCCTGGCGGTCAGAGCTTGGAATCGCTGAGCGGTCGTGAAGGAAGCTGTCTTTTACGCATTCTGAACTCGTGCTTAAGCCCAGGAAGACATTATGCTGCGGGTCTGCAGCATGGTAAGCTACGGCAAGCCCAACGAGATCAGATTTGGCAGCGCGGGAGCGACGAACCCTGGCATGAGGATTCCTTGCAGATGTTGGCTTACGTTGCTCTCGCTTCTGTTTGATGTTCGGACCTGCAGCAGCTGCCTCTACGCATTTCGCATCTTGCATTAGGCTTGAAGACTCCTTAAGACAGCCAGTCAAAGATCATGGATGCAAGCTGTGAGGCACACTATCTGGGCCTACGTGCACAGCGGAGATTGGGATGTCTGGGGTGCCATGACCTCCCCAGGCTTGACTGTGCATGATCACGACAACTTGCGAAGTTGCAAACGAAGGAGGGGTTCGAGCTGAGCTGTTCATAGCAGCACGGCAGGTCGTGATGCCTTGCCCAGAGTTTCTTGCCTCCTTGAGCTGCAGCATTGTCGGGCGTGCAGGTACTGGCGGCAAGTGGATCGCGGATCCACCAATCCCGGCAGGATCCATTTCTCCGTGCTAATTTTTGGACCCCGTATGCAATACGTCCTGCAAGGTCAGGCACGGAATTTATTGGCAGCATCTCAGAAGGGCCATATGGCTGGAGCAGAAGATGTTTTGGTATCAAAATCCGTTTCCTGTGCATCCTCCCACAGACCCAATGAGCCCGACTAGATTAGAGCGGTTGAGGTTTCGAGGCTCCTCCGAAAGGACCCCTTGCAGGCAACAGCGGACAAGAGCTTGTTGGCGAAGGGAAGTTTTAGTCGAGATCTGCCTGAGCCGATGTTTGGAGATGATAGTTGCGTTGTCGGCAAGCAAAGAGCTCATCCATCCTGAGCATGTCCGGACAGTTCCAGCTCAGACACCTGCGTCCCATGCATCAGTGTGATGGGAACGTGTGATGGGAACACAGTAGTCCTAACAAGTCCGCTGCGCCGATGCCGATTGCAGCCAGATGCTGGTATGAAGATGTGCACTTGCTCATGTGTCGTCATGTGGCAGCACCGACGCACCGTCTTTTGTCTCGGCAGTTGAGCAACATCAGATGGCCTGAAGACAATCTTAGTAGGGTTATCCAGCGCGTTGAGATGGTAGACGAAACGCTTGCTCGATACGCGTGCTGGATCAGCAGTCAGGCGGGACATAGCAGTGTCGAGATGTCCGGAGCTGTCTTTAAGCTCAGGGTGGGTGATCGTCACAGATGTTGCGCATCTTGCGGAGGCAGCTCTAGCGTCCGGAATGGACCAGAAGTTGTGGGGCACCTACTGAGTATGGGCAGGTGAATTGCTGCAGGAGGGACAGAACCTGGCTTTGACTTTATCCGCCCTGACTTGTTTCCGCACACCGAGGACTGCTCTCTCACGACGCACAGCGGCGGAGTTCCGGAAGGCAAGGGATCTACTGGGCTCGGCAGAGTTGACAACAGCATGGCGTCGGAGGAACTCGTCCCAAGCATCTCCTGCAGCCATACAAATGGAAAGCCTCGCGAATGAAGAGTCAGGCAGAAGCAGAGCATGCCGATCTGGCGACGCGGATCGGTCTTCTAGAGGCTTGCTGCTGCAGGCCCCAACTGTTGCTGCCGCACTGGGCTGCTTCTTCCGTGGATCGCACACCCCTTGAGCGGTCGCAGCGAGCACTACAAGTACAGACTCTCATTGCTGTTGCAACGAGCCTGCCAGCTTCTGTATGGGTGGGTGGCTGCTACACTGCTGCGTGCCGCCACGTAGTGAGTTGCTACTTCTTATGAAATTTCATGATCTTTCATGCATCGCAGACACCCAGATGGCTTGTGAAGCAGGGCTGGGCTGATGACCTCGGAGTCCACTCCTCAGGAATGAGCAGTGCGCTGGGTGATGTCTGTGTTGCAGGTAGCAGGTGCCATGATTGCCATGCCTTCGGTCGCTCTGCATCTCAGAGATCACCTGGCGCTGAGGGTGGACGTCTCGTTTTCCAAGCCGGTGGCAGGCAACGTCTGAAGCTGGCACTGCAGCACATTTCCCAAGTACTGGTGACTAGTGCCTATCGAAGAAGGGTCGCTGCTGCAAGAGCTGTGAATGCCCATTGTCATGGTCGAGAACTTGAGACTGCTTCCATGTCACAGCAAAGAGACCTCAGAAGCGAAAGGCCCAAGGCATCTCTCTCTGCAGATTCTCCAGCTTTCCTGTTTGGGCGGAGCCTTGCTTCTCGTGCTGTCTTTGGTAATCTTACTTGCCAGGACGAGGTGACGAAGCGGGTAGGCACAGCCTCGCTGAGCGTGTGCCTCAGTCCGGTACATGCCTGGAATGTCTTAGAGCCGCCATGAGCCGCCTGCTCCTGCTAGAACTTGGCACCCTACGCCGATCGACCCAGGCCACTCGAGCAGCAGTGCCGCGGACTCGTGGAGGCCAGCAGGTCAGTTGCGGCAGTGATAGAGGAATCGAATTGAGAGGCTACGACAACAGACCGAACTAGCAGTCCGAGTCTGTGCCCTTGCTCAGAGAAAGCATGCGGTTGCAGCCATTGAGATTTAAGGGTCCAGGTTGAGGCTTGCAATCTGTGCGCTTCATACAGGTGCTAGAGTTAGAGAGCACTTGCATTCCATTCCTCGAGATTTCTTTCCCAACTTTTGAAAAGTGCCTGCGGCGGCGCCATGGCAGAGCAAGCGCGTTGCAGCCATGGATGCGCTCTCCTCGCACAATTTTGGGGTGCCGCGACCTTGCTCATTGTTTTTGTTTGCCGATCTGATGTGGTCTAGAATCGCTGATAGAGTGCCTCCGGTGCAGGCGTGGGCCTTTGGGTGTACATCTTTGTGGACTGCATAGCAGTGGAGCTGGGGCGTGGACTGCAGCCGTTCAAGCGGATGGACCTGACGGGCTTGCAGTGGGCTGGCTATGCCCGCAGGCTCAGTTTTGGAGGTCTAACTGTAGCCGACAAGACCTACCTTTTCAGTGTTTCCTTAGATTCTGTACAAAGTTCCTAGGTCTGTTGATCCTGCATCCGCCGATTGCAGATATGACTTGCGTTGCTTTAGACCACTGAGGCAGCAATCGCGATTTCTCTCTGGCTGGTGGAAGGCGTGCGAGCCTTTCAGATGAGCTTCTCCCCCATGCTCGTCCGAAGGGCACGTGAGCTTCGAGAAGACTCTCCCACCTGGGAGAAGATCTTGGCACCTTTTTTCGTGGCCGGACTCGTTTCCGCCACGCCCGGCAGGTTAGTCAAGAGCTGGCTGCTGATTCTGATCCTCATCCCGGGTCTGGCATTGTCCGTTCCACACTTGCCTTATCCGTGGCGCGAGGCAGTGGATGCAGGAGTCGTCTTGGGACTGGGCTGGGGTACGGCGGCTGTGGCATACTTTTGGCTGCGGGGCTGGTTCGGCTCCAGTTGGCCAACGATCAGTGCAGACCTGCCAGCACATCGGATCAAGCCGACCGCAGAGGCCAACCGGGCACCCCTCGCTGAGGGCGCGGTCTAGAGTGCTTGCAGCGGTGCAACAAGGAACTTCTGAACAGGCACATTTTCCGAGTGGCTTCTTGGGCACTCCAGACTCCAAGTCCGCCTGTCTCAGCAGGTACAGTTCAGCCGTCTGAATGTCAGTGTGCATCCTGTAGATTTGTAGTGGCCATGACCCGACACCCTGGCAGCAACTACTCGTACCAGCTCAGCTTTTTTCGGCAGTGCCATCCTGGTGCAAAGACAAAGCCAGTCAGGTCGTGGTCTCCTGTTCCGTGCTTGAGTGCGGAGTATGGACACAGGAATTGCACAGAGAGCAAAAGCCTGTGTCCTTTGGAACTTTCTTGGTTGTCATGCTGCGGCTACATATCATGTAATTTTTTCTACACAGATGCATGCGCTCATTCATGCGTACAGTAATACACACATACACGTTAACATACCATCACACACACACACACACACGCATGCCTTTTTTTTCTCTCTCCCTCTCGCTCTCTTTCCCTCCCTCCCTTCCCTCCCTCCCTCCCTCACCTCCCTTCTGCTGCGAGCTTGGTGCCAGGACATGCTGGGGCGAGAGCTGCGCAACCTCGAACACATTGCAGCGGAGCTGCAAACGAGAAGAGTTTTGCATTGCTTTGCCGACTGAGTCTTGAGTCTTAACATTGCAAGGACGTGGCAAGGAGAGCGAATGGGGTTGAGATGCGTTGCTAGGGGGAGCTTGGCGTCAATAGCGAGATGTTGAGGCCAAGAGACATTCAGAGATGGAAGCCGACATGGAGCGAATTTGCCAGGACTGTCTGCAGGTCCACAGATCATGGTACGAACAATGTACACCGTGAGAGAAAGGAAAAGCTGGTGATCAGGACTTCCAGAATAAGCTGGGCGCAAGCTGCTGCCAAGAGGCGGCATGAATCTTCCAATGCAGCTGTTGGGACCAGGGAGTGCGAATTGCAAGTTAGTGTCGCCTGAGGGCTTGAACCGTTTCTAGCCAAGACCCGGTAAAAATGACAGCTTGATGGGCCTGATGTGGCTTGAAGTTGCAGATGAAGGACACAAGTGACACAAGGTATGTTTATCTCTGTGACTTTCCTTTGCACTGCCAGGTGCAACGGCTTGGGGCTCAGGCCAGAGCGAGGAGTGAACTGATGAGATAGAGCTCCGTGGAGCTCTCTTGCGACTTCGCAATGCTTTCCGTGGTCGAGGTTCGACAAAGATGATAAAGTTGATAAAGATGATAAAGTCTTGTTGCTCAAGTTTCAGCAACCACTCATCGATGGCAACAAACCATACACTTGACAGCTCAGCGTGCATAGCCTGCGCAGGGATGCACCACCTTCCAAAACTTGTCGGCTGCACGCAGCTAGTGGTCACTGACCTGTGCCGACTGCCCCGCTGCACGACAATAGGATCGGCAAAAGGGCTCGGGCTTTCAAGGCGGGTCCCTGCCGCTGCACCCAGGTTGTGCGAGGAGGTCCGTGGAGAGACCAGCCGCAGCCTTGGCAGCGCCGAAACACCCCGTCGAGTCACAGAGGCTTTGTACTCCGAGCAGGGCTTGGCAGCTGAGCAGGGGGTCCCCAGCAGCCAAGCGATGTCTAGTGCCAGAAACCTCATGTTGTCGTGGCTCATATTTTGGCTCAGCGAAAGGAAGTAGGTCGGGAACCTTCACCCCCACGCAGAGGCCGAAGAGCGCACAGAGTAGCACCGACGTGACTTGCTAGTGCAAAAGCTTTGCCCGCAGGATGGCTGATCCAAGCTTACTCTCCTCTGGAGCGGGGCCAGATAAGAGACTGCAACGTAGGCATGGAATCAGTCTTGCAAACATCCTTCTGTTGTTCACATTCGTGAAAAGCAGGAGCCGGCACGGCATCAACTGCCAGTGTCTGCAAGCTTAGACTGGCGAGCTGTGGGGGAGCTGTGTGAGCATCAGATCAGCCGCACTTCTCGCTGCTGTATTAATCGGATCTCCGCGGACTGCGGATTGAAGCCACAAAACGGAAGCAGCTCGTCACTTCACTTCTCTCGCGTCGAGTTTTCCGAGGCGGCAGCGCGGGCTGCCAACGCAGCTCGAAATAACAACGCTCCGCCCCGCGACTCAGTGCAGTGCTGTTCCTGAGAGGGTTTCGTGCTTTGGCGGGGAAGATTTGATCGGGCGCTCCACTCCAACGACGGGGTGCCGACATCGTAGTCGCAGCTGCAGCTTCGGCATGGGGACATGCGTCACTGCTGTTACACTTAAGGTGTTACAGGTTGCAAAAGATGAGGGGGATCTGCCCAGAGAGCCATGCACAGCAACAGTCCCAAGGCCTTTGCAGCCCATGCAGGTGGAGACAGGCTCGTTCTGCAGCAAATGTAGATCAGCGCCGCAAAGCGGTCGAACTGCAGGGCCCGCCCCGGTCCAAACTGGCATCAGTGTCAACGATGGCCTGTTTGTGAACGTCTCAGCCTGAGCAGGGGCACAGTACCATCTGGTGAGCCAATCTCTCTCTCTCTCTCTCTCTCTTTCTCACGATCCCGGCAGGACGGCGATTCGCCGAAGAAGATTCAGTCGTCCATGTTCACGGGAGATGAGGCTTGCAAGCACGATTCCTCTGGAAGCTGAAGGGAAGCATTCGTGCCATTCTCCCAAGGGGCAGAGGAAAGGTCATGGCCGTGGGCAACGCAACCAGCGGAAGAATCAGCCGAGCCTCAAGCTTGCCCCGTTTCCGTGTGAGCAGCACAGTCCTCGGGCTGGCTTTCATTTGGAGTCAGACCCAGGACACCACACGCGCAGTCCCCGCCGGCCGCTGGATGGGCTCCGCCGCCTCATCAGGCTCACTTTGAGCGCCGCTGTGGGGGTGGGGTGTGCGGATAAAGCTGCAATGCACTGCCCCCGTGGAGGCACTTCCGCCAGATCTCGGAGCGCTGCTTGGATGAACCGTGGGCTGAACTCTGCACTTTTGGACCTGAAGCATGGAAAGCCGAGTGCAGGCGGATGTCAGTGTCACTGCCGCGCTCAGGTTTGGGGGATATCCCAACCCCTACGCAGGAATGCCGCTTCCCTATGCGCCTGGTCCCCCGCCGCCGGCTGGTTACAATGCATACATTCCGTCTCGACCTTACAAGACTCCGTCGCGACACAACAGGGGCATCTCCGGAAGTCAAGCTTGCCTGTAAGGTACCCACCCCAGCCCTATGCCATGAATGCCATGATGCCGCCTCCCAACATGTACCCAGGCTCGCTGGACTGTGTCTATGTACTTCGCTGTGCTCACTTGAATCAGGGATGCCTGCCATGCCGATGTTTCCTGGAATGCCACCCGTGCCCTCGATGCCTGAGTGCCTTGGTTGCCACCGGTGATCTCTCCAGACATGGCCACGCTCAGCAGCATAAGCTTGCTGGTTTCGCAAGACTCCGTGAAGATCCGGGAACGATGCATTGCAGCAGCTGTGCGTCGCTCCGCTGAGGCAGACTCCATCGAAGAATGCCGGGAGCCTCAGCGCCTCCCACGGGATGGGACCGTGGGACCTCCGAGTCCGAGAGCTCCAAGACGCGCTTGGCTCGAGGCGAAGTCTCGCAACAACAAGCCCGAGGCTCCCGGAGGAGGACGGGACGTCTCTGCTTTGGGGGCCTTGAGCCACGCTTTGCGCTTTGCGCGCACAGTGACTGCCAGGAGGAAAGAACCAACGAGAGCCGAAAGGCAAGAGACGGACTAAGGCGGCCCGTTGTGAGCTGTGCTTGCTTTAGGATTGCGATCCTAGAAGCAATCCGTGGGACTCCACAGAGTTCCTTTCCGGTGAACTGCATGTGGGTCAGGCGCTCCTTTTTTCATGCGTGGGTCCTGCTGTAGACGGTGAAGGGTGGAAGGAATCGCTCCATCCGCACGGCTACCATGAGCGAATTGGATACCGACTCACAGCATCTTGTGCTCAGGGCAAGAACTCCAAGGACTGCGGGCATGAGGGAAATGTGCAAGAGTAGGAAGCTCCGCGCTGGCCCATGCTGGCCGAGAGAGTACAATTGTGAGAGAAACCATGGAGCCTGGAGTGCAGCAGGAATATTCCGTGCAAAGCAGCAGCGATTTTCGCAACAGCAGCCGTTAGTACATCTCTCTTTTTCTGAAGGATGAGCCGAGTGCTGCAATTGAAGACGACGCGAATCTCAGCCTCCTACTGAACCAGGCAGAACAAGCACCACTTCACGGTGTCATGCTCTGCTCGTTTTGCAGTTGGCCGGTGCATCCGAGCAGTCCCGAATGAGTCCACGTTCTGGTCAGACATCCTCCGGTTGTCTGATCACACCTTGGTTTGCTCTGCGTGCCACGTGTCCTTCCCTCCAGCTCGCATGCTTCTGCTTTGACCCACGCCTCTTTCATTTGCCCCAGTCCATGTTGACTTCTCGTTTCGACACGTGCGAAACATGTTTGTGCAAGGTTCGGCGAAGGCAGCGTGACGTCTCTCTCGAAGAGGTGTTGAGCGAGAAATTGGTCGTCGAGTTCGCGAAGGACGGACTGCTCTTTTCCAGCGCCCCAGCTCAATTTGCTGCTGTAGCAGGATCAGCACGGCAGTCGGTTCCTCCAGACAAAGTTGGATGAGGCAGTATCTGGATGTTGACACACTTTAAGCTGGTGGGGAAACCCTTGACATCTCCATTCCGAAACGTTTTATCACAACGAACAGCAAGCCTGGCTGTGCGCCTGCTTGTGCCCGGAAGGCACCCGACGATGTCAAGCGGATGGTCTATGCGGTCCGCTCGTCATTGTTCAAAGAGTGCAGCCCCAGACAAAGCAGTGTTACTAAGCAAGAGATATTGTTCGTCTTCTGTCACTCTCCGACTTGTGATCGGGATCATCGTGTGCATCGTTGTTTGAGATTTAATCACGGATTCAGTGGAGGCCATCCAGGAAGATGCTGCAGAGCTGTCGAAGGAAGTTTTCGCTAATCATGTGGCAGGGATCCCCAGTGACGTCGTGACCTCGCTTAGGACCTAGGACTGTTTTGAATTCTGGTAGGACAGTGTGGTCCCGTCTGCGCGTGTCCCAGCTTTGCGTTTAGGTACTCGTCCTTGGCTCGCAATAGTCCTCTTTCCGTCTTAGTGTCAGCACGCCATCTTAACATCAAGCTGTGGCATCGTAACATGAAGTTGTCCATTCAGCATCACGCTACATCGCACAGCCTCACAACACACATCTCTTCGCATCACGTTGCCCCGTCAGGCTACCGTAATATCGTATCGAAATGCCGAAAGGCCGTTCACGTCACATCAGCTTGTGCCATGTAACAACCTAGCAGCGTGTGGCACATCGTGTCACATCGCCGTTCCTCACAGCATCCTCGTCAGGCTGTAGACATCATCGTCATCATCGTCATCAGCATCATTTGATAATCCGCGGCGTCTCCATCAACGTCATAGTCGTCATCACCATCATAACCAGCATCGACACCATCATGACCATCAGCACCACCACCGTCATCACCGCCGCGCCACCATCATCAGCGTCATTACCATCATCTCCTCAACCCCTCCGTTACCACAGTTATCATCATCTTCATCATCATCATCATCATCTTCATTTTCATCATCACCATCATCATCATGTTTCCCCCGATCATCAACAGCAACATCATCATGCCGTGAAGACGAATAAATGCAGCCATACTGTTTGGAGAGTGCAGACCTGAAACATCCTGAAACCTTGCAGCAGGAGGTGCCGAACTTCCGATAGCTTGAACCAGTCAGTCGAACAAAATGATAGTGGCATGATGATGGTCGTCTTACGACAACAAGTCCTTGAGTCACGATTGCAGCATTGCGCAAAAGCATCTGCCTGCTGGAAAAACGGACGTTGCGGTTTCACAGCCAAAGAGCCTGTGCACTGGATTGATTGTTCGTGCTGCTGCAGGTCCAGAAGATCTTTGACACGGCAGACACGGAGCACTCGACTCAGTGTTTGAATCGACATATCAGGTTTCGGGATGTTTGAGGTGAGCCTACGTCTGCTGAATCGGTTGCGCGACGAGGAGGGAACTAACCCAAACTCGACCAGACTCGATCCTCTACACGCAGAATCCATGCTTCATGCAACTTGTCGCCTAGGCAGAAGAAGGCTGGAGCTTGCAGAGCGCCTGAGAGCCAACCCTTTGACCAGTTTGCGCGTTCTACTGGGTTCTTGTTAAGGGATTTAGTAAGGAAACCATATGATTTACTATAGATCCCTATTATGGTAACTTACATTAAATCCTTTGACAAGAACCCAGTTTAGGCCTCTACGATCTCCTCGAGAGGCCTTGGTGCGAGCGCTGGCGGATAATGTCGCAGCGCTGTCACAAGACCAGTATGGCTGCCGTGTCATCCAGAAGGCACCCCGGAAGAAGGAAGAGTTCCAAGTTCCAAGAGCGTCCTCCATACACCCGAACTGGTTCAGGCGATTCAAGCAGTCTCCAAAGAGTCCCAGCAGCAGATTGCGCGGGAGTTGGAGGATCACGTGGAGTCCTGCATCAGGACTGCTCGCCAGAAGCTGACGCTGTGGAGCCGCAAACTGGGGAATGCCAGGGTCCCTTTTTCAATCGGGTGACTCGGGGTAAGACTCCGTCGGCACGAGCCGTAACAGCAAAACCGGTTCTGGACCCTGGGCCTTCCTGTGAAAAGTAAGAGCCTTCATAGTGACAGCAACAGTAATAACATTAATACTCCTAGTCATTGTCATACTACTGGCAACAACAATCATTTGTCTTCTGGGACAGCTGAGACACACACTCACACACCCGGTGAGTTTTGAGCTTTCAGCACCAATGCCAAGACAAACAGTGGAAGAGACATAGGAGGCGGAACTCAGACCTCAAATCAGACATTCAGATCTGCACGGAGCTGCTTGTGGTCCTAATAAACCTTCAAGCCATGCTTTTTGCAGGAACATGCATGGAAATCACGTGCCTCGGCAGGGAGTGTGTTGATTTGTACCTCCATTAGCTGGGCACTTCCGTAGCCCCAACAAAAACTCCATCCGAATGGTTAAGTAGATTTTGAGGCTACTGGACGGATAGAAAGTAAACCAACATTCAGAGGTCTGCGCAGTGTCGATGCTCAGAGACTCTTCAAAGGTCATGCCTCAACAGTTACGGGGGGTTTGCATTGTGATGAGGTGATCCAGAAATGCATCGAGCAGATGCCGCCGGACTCCGTTAACTTCGTTATCAAAGCGGCACCGGCCCAAGGATTGACTACCGCCGTCTGTGTAGCCTGCGCTGGTGAGATATTCCTTGGGTTCAGGTGGAGCAGAAGGCAGAAGAGACGGCACGGCACGTGTCCTCGCCTCAACCTGGATGAGATGGTGGTGCAGTTACTATGTGTGGCCTTCGGCCTTTGCCTTTGTGCCTTCTGACCCAGGTACGGCTGTCGTGTGATTCAGCGTCTTCTCGAACACTGCGTATCGGCGCAGCTGGAACCAATGCAGCTCGCAACGGATATGAACAGATGCACTTGGAGCGTGGGAGGCCAACCTCAACCTCACTTCCAGGTTGTTGCAAATGCTAGTGTTGAATGGCTCGTTTTGATTGAAGGTACTGGTAGCGGTCATGTGTCCTGTTGCGCAGCCTCGCCTCCCCCGCCTAGTGGTAAAAGAATTCAGAAGCACCGTTAGCCTATGTTGTCACGATCACAGTCAGATCGTGTGATTACGGTTTGGTTGCCTAGCAAGCGAAGAACACCTTACTCGTACTAACCACACATCTCGCCCGACTCCTGTGAACAATCTCGCCCAAACGATGTGCGTTTGGGCTGCAAGCTTTTCGGTACGGGTGCTCCCCAGCATAATGTCCTGAGCTACACGCAAGCCCCAAGAGCGTAACGGCTTGATAGGGAGATGGCAGGCATGGGAATGGTGTAGGTTCTAGCGGCTGCACGGAACTAGTATTCCATCGTGACTTGCCCGGTTGATTCAAACTAGTCTCAGGTTGGAGAAAATCCTCGTGAATGTGGCCGTGCTGGCAAAGGATGCTTACGGCAATTATGCCCTGCGCTCAGCCGGATTCAACAGAGGAGACGTCAGCCTCCCAGCGTGCAAGCTCCCGACGAGTGCAGGTTGTGCAGCACATGCTGGAGCACGGCCGCAAAGAAGACAAGAAACGAATCTTCGGCTGCGGCGCGAAAGCTCGGGATGGGAAGGGATCGGATCGGAGGCTGCGCCGGCAGGTTCAGGCTTCTACTCTGAGGGCACACGTTTCTTGAGCATGTCTTTCTTGTGCCCAGGGATGGTTGGTTCTGACAATGAGGGGGGTGGACCCTGCTTTCGATTGAGGCCCCTCAACCACTGCGGTCTTCGGAGCTCCACCTCCACACCACCCAACCCATGCGTCCCTCACCCGCTCGCTAACTAACCGAGGAAGCACCGCAATTGCACGTTGTGTCGATGCATGGGACCTGCATCGCTTTGGCTCTTACTGACGTCAGACTCGTGGTTTAGCTCCGGAGTGTCGACTGACCTTCACATGCACCCCGCATCTAGAAGTTCAGGTCCGCACATGATGCCCACCCATAGCCCGTGAGCGTGAAGTGCTGAGGAATTATAGAGACGATTCGGGCAAACATTGCCGAATTCTCGAAGGAAAAGTTCTCCAGCAATGTGGCTTGGCTTGACAGGCTGAATTCTTCAGGCGGATGGCTTCCGTGACCAGGTGGTCGAGAAGTGCTTCGAGGCGGCGACTGTGGGTGAGAATGCGGACGATCCACTGATCCAGCAGGAGTTGGGCAATTCAACAGCCTCCCGCGAAACCTCCCTTGCCATCTTGCAGGAGCGCAACTTGCTGATGCGAATGGTGCTGGAGAGGCTGCAGCTTTCATTTTCGGGTTTCGAAGTGAGATTGGAGTGACGCCGGATCTTGTTGGTGCAGCTCAATCACGGCCTGTGGCCTATGCCTTTGCTGCTTGTTATTTGTTTGGGTTCTCAGGCTCCTACCCTCGCATGTTCTGCATGTTGGAGGCCCGAGGTCATCTACGCCATGTGCACCAACACCTACGGCAACTACGTTGCCTGCCCGACATGTTGTACGAGAGGAAGAGAGTGATGTCCTGTTTAGGTGGAGGTATGTGGAGGTGCAATGCGGCATTGCCCGAAGCCGAAGCTGGCTCAGCAAGCACTGCTTGCAGCTTCAGTTCATTCTATTTTCAAGAGGATGTGACACGGGATCTTCCTAAGACAACGGATCAGACAAATTGAGCTTCGCAGGTGGAGCTTGCAGCGTATGCAGCGTGCAGCCATGGCTTTCAAGGTGCGGCTCCTCTTGGGCGCTCGGCGGCTGGTGCTTCTGCAACCGCCGCGGTTTTCCAAGGGCGCATCCACGGTAGCGAGCGCACCGAAGGCACCCGGCTCGGGGATGGCTGCGTACATCCTGCGGACGGGTCTTCGAGGCATGCGAGGCGTGTGTGCCCGGGCAGCCTACAAGAAGGACCAGCGGTGAAAACGAGTTCTACCGCACATTGATGCGACGGAGCTGAGGCACCATCTCTGGCGGCATCGGCTTGACCGTCTTTGGGCTCGTCATCTGCCCCTACGTCAGTTCACGGTCACCGATTGGACAGGAAGAGCGATCTTCACTGGAGCAGGATTTGCTCGGGCTTCGTGGCAAGATTCAGCCCTGTGTTCACTGGCCAAAGTCCAGTTCAAGGCAACACGAGCGACTGTGTTCTCCGGAACGCTTTGATATCTTTTGGTCGTAGGTCCAGAGCTCCAACTTCACCCAATGGTAGCAAAGCAACCGCATGCAGGAGTAGGAGCAGGAGCAGTAGCAGTTGCAGTCGAGGTAGCAGTAGCAGCAGTAGTACCTGTTGCAGCAGCAGCAGTAGCGGTACAGTAGCGCTAGCAGCAGCAGTAGCGGTGGCGGCAGCAGTAGCAATAGCAGCAGCAGTAGCGGCGAGTACTAGGAGTAGTGGCAGTCGCAGTGGCAGTGGCAGTTCCAGTGGCAGTCGCAGTCGAAGTGGCACAGGTAGTACTTAGTAGCAGTAGCAATAGTGGTAATCGCAGTCTCAGTCGCGGTCGCAGTGGTAGTGGCAGTGGTAGTGGTGATGGTAGGGGTAGTTGTAGTGGTAGTGCTAGGGGTAGCCGCAGCGGTAGGGAGCGGTAGCGGTAGTGTTAGTAGGAGCAGCAGCAGTCGTAGTCGTGGTGGTGTTGGTTTCGTTTTTTGGTGGTGGATGTTTGCAGTAGCGTGAGGCGGTGCTCAAGTTGCAGACGAAATATCAGCAGTAGTAATAGTAGACGTCGAAGTATTGGTAGTGGCAAAGTCTGCAGTATTCAGGGGCAGTGACTGTCGTATTGGCAGTACTTATTTTGGATCAGCGGTAGTAACACGACTGCGTTCGTGTCTGTACCAGGAATACAAGCAATACATGTCAAGATTTAATGAGTCTTGGATTACTGTGTCTATGAGCAGGACGTACTGGCGGTGAGAGTGGTAGTAGTTGTCATGTTTTCTAGTGCTGGTGGTGGTGGCGGTGACAGTGGTGGTGGTGGTGGTGGTGGTGGTGGTGGTGGTGGTGGTGGTGGTACTGGTGGTGGTGGTGGTGGTGGTGCTGGTGGTGCTGGTGGTGGTGGTGGTGGTGGTGGTGGTATCTCTGCAATACTCCACGACCATGGAACCCTTATTGAAGCCCCCAGCAAGACCATCGTGAAAGCCTGCCCGGGCTCTGTTGCTCTCAGACTCTCATTCGTCGGTTTTTTCGTTAAGCCCTAAACCCTTAGCGAGTAGCAGCGGGCCCAGGATTGTGGCCTTCGACTCGTCTCGAGAGCTGCTGGTGGCTTCAGAGCTCTTCGCAGCTGTGCGCGAGATGCGAATGCCTCCGGTCCGGAAGTTCAAAGCTTTGGGGGCGCTTGAGGATACTGGGAAGTCTCGCATACTTGCGGCTCAATGTCGATGTCAGAACGTAGCATGTCCGCTAGCTTGTACTCTCCCCTCCTCCACATCTGCCTTCCCTTCCCTTCACCCGTCGAAAGTTTCCAAGGGGGTTCTTGCACCGCAGCCCCTACATCCCTACACCCTTGGAGGTGTCCTTCCATGACTTGCAGCGACCCTTCTTCTTCCGCCTTTTTGAATGGGTCGGCCGCTTCACCTTTGCATGCTATTCCGATGCTTCCGGTGTAATGACGCTTGACGAGTTCAAGTGCGCCGTTCACAAAATGATCGATTCTCGGAGACATTGGGTTACGCAAACTCTGCACTTTGCTTCTAGTATTCGGACTCGGACACCGAGGATTTGGTCTTGGAGGCACACAGCCTGTCGCAAGGAAAGGCTGCTGCTCCTGCTGAAGCACGCGCCCAAGCGGTGCGCGAGCTCACCAAGCATGTGGTCCCAGCCGTCTTCCGAGTTCTGGACTTTGATCAGAACGGAAGCATTGGCGCCTTTGAGTTCATCCGCGGAGCGCTGCTCTTGCTTGCAACCGTGCAGGGTGCTCCGTTAGATACGCCGCAGTTGGCAGACTTGGCCTTCCGAGTGGTTGACGCAGATGCAGATGGTTTGGTTACGAGCGCCGAACTGCTCCGATGGGTCACGCTGGCCTTGGAGCATGGGGTGACTTCTGCAGACGTGCTTCAAGAGCCTCGGGGGCCATTTGGGTGGTTTGGAACCCGCATACTGACGCCAGCACAACTTGCAAAAAGATGGCTCGCGGAGGCTGACTTCGATCGTGATGGAAAGCTCCTCCCACAGGCAGTTGGGGACAAAGAGGTTTGTAGACTTCGGATTAGGAAGAAATTTCTTGAGGGTTGCCCCCAGGAGTTCGCCGTCCTAGCTCCGCGACTTCGCATCCATCAGACGATCGGCCGGATGGCCGGTCAGTATGCAGAGAATCGTTTGCCTGCGGCAGCCTAGCACAGCCTGCAGCTCTGAAGAGGCTGGGCTGGCCATTTTAATGTTAGCTGTTCCCGACTGCGATATGTTTCTGCGCAGCTTGAAAAGGTGACCTGAAATCTCAAGATAGCAATAATACTATATGATATACTATACAACATACTACAATATCATACTACAATATTATGCTATACTATAACCAGTACAACATTTTACTATAATATTATACGATAATCTCCAAGAGTTGGACCAAAAGCATTGGCCAGGTCCAGAAGATGCTGGAAAACACTCGTGGGGAAGAGTGGCCTGCCCTCTGCCAGGCGGAATTCCAAACACCTCTCTGTAAAAAGAGCCACTTGTTCAATTGCATCTCGAAGCATGATGTATTCACAGGCAATTCGGAACGTGGAGAGCCAGTTGAATTCCACGCTCGGAGCTCAAAGTGTCGATGCTGCTTGCAGCTAGCAAATCTTCTAAATGATGGCACCGCAGCACGCCCGGTTGCGCTGCTAAGACGCTGATATCCCATGTAAATCTGGCCTTGGCCTGCAGGGGGGGTGCTGCCGGTGGCAGAGAGGCTTGGCAAGTCCAGAATAAGCGATGCAGGGAAGCATGTCGAGCATGTTCAACAGCACACTCATCATATGCAGGACCCCAGAGAGGTGTTCAAGCACATCCTGACTCATTTGAATAAGGACGAGAGCGTGGGCGGAAAATCCATGCAGCATGTGTCTGACAACAGGGCGCATTTGACCGGTCTGCTTCTCCTCTGTCCGAGTCTCTGTGTCGTTTGCAAGGAGACAGGGGCGCAGCAGTGACGTCAGAAGTGGCACGGCGCCTACGGCTTGACTCTCGACCCCCGTCCGATGTACACTTTCTGGCTGTTTCGCGCTTTGCGTGGCAGTATCTCTTTTGGCATCTTCAGTGCAGTGCTCTAACTGAGGTTGTCAAATCTCTGGATCAGCAACAAAAGGCGTGGATGACCCAAGCCCTGACACTCCCTGCGAGTAATTGAACCCCAGGCAGCCTTCGCTGCGCAATCTTGTTTCGCCAGCACCCCGGGCTGGAGTGTCTTGCTTGTGTGGGAGTTTCCGAAGGTGGGGGCCCTAATATAGTACCCTCAATAGTAGGATTCTTAAGGTAAGGTAGCCCTAATTTGCGGAAACTCTAAACCCTTATAGAGCGCCTTTAAAGGAACCCTTCTAGTACCCTTATATTCACCCTTTAAAGGAACCACTCCCGTGTGCTGCCATGGTGGCGAGCTGCTCAGGTGTTCGCACTGGGTTTGCCTGCTGGTGTACAGACCTTACAGAGAGAGGCAGGGCTGGGTTAAACCCTAAACCCTAAACCCTAAACACCTTTTTGGCTCAAGCCAATTTTGGCTCAAGGCCTCGACAGTTCAGTCTGTGGGTCGTGCCGGAAGGGGTAGAGATCCCCGCCATCCGGAGTGCGCCGAGGGCTGCTGGGTTCTGTTCCACCGGGGCTTGCTCCAGGGCGTGTTTCGGATCCTTGTCTACGGGCTCTTTCTCTGACGAGGTGGGCGCTGCGGGGGCCGACTAGGGTGTCTTGCAGGACTTTGTCATGGCTGCCAATGCTAGGCTTCACATTGGACTACCGGGGGTACCCGAAGGACCGGATCAGGACCTTGATGAGAGTCCTGCGAAGAAATCCAAGCAGGTGGCGGCCGAGGGGATGGGAGGCGCCCTGACCATGAGCTCCTTCAAGGACATGCTTTCCTGCGCACTGCGTGAGCAATCCGATGCCCTCCTGCAAGCGCAGCAGATGCAGATAACTACCTCCCTGAGGGCCTTTGAGGAGAGGCAGACACACAGGATGGAGCGGATTGAAGAGCATGCCCAGACCCAGGCATCGAAGGTGGACGGGCTGGAGTCGCAGTTGAGGGAGATGAATGAAAGGCTTGCTAAGGTGGAAGCGCGGCCTGCTGCCGGGGGCGGCGGAAATGCGGGTGGGCCGGACAGGAGGTCCACCCTCGTATTTGGCGGCTGGGCGCAGAACACGAGGAGGCATGTCCTTTTGGAGCAGCTTCGGCAGGGGCTTCAAGGGCTACAAGTCTGGAGTCTTCTTGATACTGAACCCTTCTGCACAGGGGCACGGAGGTCTGTTGCCCTCTGCTCCTTCCGGCGCCGTTCTGGTGAAGCAGAAGATCAACCGAGGGCGAGAATGATGCAAGTGCTCCAGACCGTGAACACTGCTCGGGTTACCATCGAAGGGGCGGTGAAGCCGCTGTGGTGCAGTTTCAGTAAGAGTCCTGAAGAGCGGGGCAGAGCTGCCTTGGCTTCGGTTGTTCGCAAGGTTGTGCTCCGATTCGCCCCTGAAAGGGTCGACGACTTGGACATCGAATACACGACTGGACGAACTTGGATTCGGGAGGACCAGTTAACAGGTATGGGCGAGCCGGGGCCAGAGGTGAAGTACTCCAAGGAGGTCACCACACGAGCCGGTCGAGGGTGGATTGACGAAGGCACCCTGGCGAGATGGATGGAGGTGGATCTCCCTTCGGTGCAACAGGTCATCTCGGATCACAAGTTCTGAGAGGACGTTCCCTTTGGTGCTGACGAACTTTGGTTCCCACAGGAGGGTGAATCACTGCTGGCTTCGGGTCTGACCGCAGGATCTGCGATGATCTCGCCAAATGTGTATAGTGGCAGCAGGTTCTCGCTGTGGGGCTGGAATGTCGGTGGGGCTGATATGGCGTCGCTGCCAAAGGCGGTGCGCGATTCAGCGGCTCGATCCCTCGAAAAAGATGACCTTGTGGTGTTGCAAGAGGTGCCTCGAGAGAAGCAGGGGTGGACACATCAGGAGCTAGCGGGGCGAAAGGTGGTGACTCATCGAGCAGAAGGGCAATGGCGAGGAACAGGGCTGTGGTATGATCCTGGGGCTTGGTGTGTCTTGCGCAAACTTCGGTCTGAAAGGGGCACCTGGTTCAAGGTTCGACACTTGGAGCGGCCTTTGGAGTTATGGATAGGGACCGCCCACTTCTCTCCTGGGGTAACGGTGGCTGTCTATGAGGATGAGGTCCATGAGCACTTCCGGCATCTCCCGCAGAATGCGCACAGAGTGGCCTTCCAGGGTGATGTGAACAGTGCATTTGGGTGGGCTCGATCTGGGGAAGGGATCACTGAGGTGGCTAAGGAAGGCAAGAGCAACATTCTTCACAAAGTTCTCGTTGAGCGTGGCCTCTCCATGGTTCCCCCGTCTCAGTCCCAGCTTCAGACTCCCACCAGTCGTCCACGCCAAGAAGGTCGGCAGGGACAGTGCATCGATATCATGGCAGTCAAGCACATGAGGGTTCATGCATGGAACATTCACGAAGAGTCTTTCATGACCATTGGCACGGACCACGAGTTGACTGAGGGCAGCTTTGTGGTGGACGGCCGGAGAGAGTTTCCGAGAGTTGAGACCAAGCCGAGAGTGTGGACAGGTGGCGTGTCGATTATTGAGAGCATGGACCAGGGGGTAGTGGAAGATCTCGCCCGTCGATGTACACGTCCAGTCCGGGGGCAAGGATATAGGGACCCAGACAATGTTCGCAAGGCTTTCAAGGCGGCCAAGGCCTCGGGATCTTCGGCACAGTGGAAATCCGCCCTTAAGCTCAGACGTGAGGCGCGGCAACAGTGGGAACTCCAGCGGCTGGAACGGGCTAGTCAAGGGGAGTGGCACTGCTTCAGGGCCCTCAAACCGCGACGACATCAGGGTTGGGACATAGGGTTCGCGGAGGCGCAGGTCGGGGACCCTCACCGCGTAGTCCATGAGCATCTGGCGGGGGTTTACAAGGGTCGAGGTGTTCGTGAGGCAGATGTTTGGCGTGGTGACGTAAGGGCTTTCACGATGGAAGAGTTGCGCCTAGGGGTCAGTCAGATGAAGCGTGGGAAAGCCGTGGGTTCTGATCTGACATCCACAGAGCTCCTCCTGGGGATTATGGAGGTGAAAGGCGGGCCCGACCATCTTCTCGAATGGTACAACAGGATACTGGTCACAGGTCAAATCCCTGCGAAGTGGAACGAGCCCATTATGATCCTCCTCCCTAAGGTTCACCTGCCCACCAAGGCGAAAGAGCTCAGGCCAATCGCTATGGGATCATCAGTGTCCAAGCTCTTCAGCAGGCTCCTGTTGAATCGGGCTATTCAACGGCTTAGACCTCAGACATATGCCCAATGTGCTGGGCCGGGCCGTCAAACGTCTGATTTCCTGTACACCATCATCAGGCTTTTTGAACTCACCAGGGAATGGGGCAACACTTTGGTGGTTTTTAAGCTCGATCTGGAAAAAGCTTTTGACAGTTTGGATCGGGAGATGCTGTTGAGCAGGCTGGAACAGCAGCTTGGCCCCTGCGCGGAACTCACCTGTTGGCGCAACCTCCTTCGGGAAACGACCGGACGCCTCCAGACCCCATGGGGGAGTTCTAGGGTTCCGATGGAGAGAGGGATAAAACAGGGGGCTGTTGAGTCGCCAGTGATCTTCGCGTACATTGCCGAGCTCGTCCTCTCTGAAACCATGTCTAAGTACACCTGGCGTGGCATGCCTCCCTTGTTTAGTGATCTTCCGCCTGAAGAAATGCTCTTCATGGATGACGGCTTGCTGTGGAATGGCTCGGTAGAGGTCGTCCAGACAAGGACTCAGCAACTCTCTGTGGAGTTCGCACGGTATGGTCTTCGCATGAACCCAGGGAAGTGCCAGCTGTATGTCTCCCCCAACGTGCTAGGTGATCGGCATATACTCCTGAACGGATCGAAGATTGAGGGTGCCTCCCAGCTTGAGGTGATGGGGATTGTCCTGAGGGTTGGTATGTCTATGTACGAGCTGGTCAGCCCGGCCGCCACGCGTGCCAGGTCGAAGTTCTGGGAGCTCAAGCATATCCTGCGGGCTAAGGGGTACATGAAGAACCGTGCAAGGGTCATGCAGAGGGTGGTCGGGGCGACGGCACTTTGGTTCATCTGTTGTGTCCCACCAGATAAGGCCACCATGACGGCACTCAACTCCACACAGCTTCAGCTCATGGTATGGCTGCTTCGATTTGCCAAGGCACCCACTGAATCCTGGGAAGACTTCCGCAAGCGCGCCTTCAGGGGGGCCAGGGCAGCCTTAAACTCGGCAGGGCTTGAGAGGTGGTCCACGCTGTGGCTGCGGAGATACTGGCAGTATGCCGGTCATCGGGTGCGGACGGTCTTTGCTGATCACCCGCCGATCAGCTGTGAGTTCGAACATTTTCGTACCCTCCCATGGTGGAATCATCAAAAGTCTCTTCCGCAGGGCAAAGGCATCAAGCACCGGGGGCACCACTACGCTCGCCTCACTCAGCTGGAGCGAAGCCTTGACCATGTGGCTGGTCACCCTTGGCGGGCTCTGGCTCATGATCGGAGGGCATGGAAGAGTCGAGAGAACGCATGGGTGGAGTACATGGACGTGCCGTGGTCATCGGGACGTCAACTTGCCCTCGGGGATCAGTAGTGAGTAGTGTGAGCCAGGCAGGGTCTTGTCGGGCCTTTCGGGCACACCCGTCCAAGGTACGAGGTCGTTACCCTAATTCGTTTTCGCTCGGGTCCCTCCCCTTTTTCCCCCACTCCAGAGAGAGAAGGGATTCTGAGGGAGAGTTTGCATGCAATGTACAGTGATGCTGTGACATGTCTGCTTGATCGCTGTCAGTGAAGGGGCCTGAGCTCCTGATGTTTTAGCGATCGAGCCGTAGCGTGCCCTTCGCATCAACTTGGCTACCCGAGCCATGGTGACCATGCTCTACATGTTCGCGTGGTTCGTGACCGTGATGGTCTGTGCGGGTGGTCCTCCTGGAAGGGAGGGCGGCTCACCGAACCCTATGTTTTCTGTGACGGCGACGGCGAGGGACTCACTCGTGACGAACCCCTCCCCGGTGCCAAGGACACCAAGCCCAAGTACGCCCCGGGGCGAGTCTTCGACTGCTGCTTCGGCACACGCCGGGCTGTCTACCAGCACTTCCAACAGGGCTTCAGGGTCGACTTTTACTTCTACATCCGATGCTCCAGGTCGTTCAAGGTCTCCGCCTGGAGGTTTGCATGAATTCGAAAATGGATCCTCGACACCAGGACTAACCCACCCTCGACCTCTTCATGTAGGTGCAGGACACGTCGATCAGGGACAATGTGATGCAGGTGTGCGGGTGCAGAACTCCGTGGTATCCTCGAATGGCACGACCAGGGAGAATGACGACTTCGTCTCCGACTGCGCCTGGTTTCGCTCGGTGACGGGGCAACTGGACCGCCTTCGACAGCTAGGCCGAGGCAGGGAGCCGATGTGGCTGGCGGTTCTGGCGCGCATACGGCACAGGCAGGACCCGGCCTATAAGCAATGGTGCGGTCGGCACCTCCGGCCTCTTCGTGCAGAATTCGGGCCCTTTCTCAACTCCCACCAGCACACGCGGGCACTTTCTCCTGATGAAGTGGATTGGGCCCGAAGGGTGGAACACGCCGCAGCTCAGGACTTCTATGGCCACCGCAGCCCAGTGCAGGTTGTTGCATCTGTGCCTCAGGACACTGTGATCCTTGCAAACCATGCCTCTGCACCGAGTCCCGACCTCCCCTACGGCCTCTTTCATGCTCAGTGGGTCAATCCGACCACTGGCGAATGGGGTGTGGGCACTCCTCCGCCAGGACCGCCAGCGGCCGAACTGGAAGAAGAAGACCTCGAGGAAACTTCAGACCAGGCATCCCTTATGTCCTTGTGGAGTATGGCCCGGCTGGTCTACGGGGCCGTGGCCTTTGATCGAGCTTGGGAAGACGGACACGAGCCAGGGTGGTTTGACAATGAAGTCGAACAACTAGAGATGCTAGCGGACAAGGGCGTACCGATGACTACCATCACCCGCGAGTTCCGTCAGGCGGTTGAATCCGTGCAGGATGACCGCTTTCATCGGGAGAATGCCTTGGTTCTTGACGAGGTCTACCGAAGGCTTGCTGGTTACCCGCCACAAGAAGAAGGACGTGAGTACGGGGCTACTGTGAGACGGCCAACGCAGGAGCAGGTGACTAGGATGGTTCACGAGGTGCTGCAGGTCTTCAAAAATCAATGGTACCTCCGTCTGTGTCCGATTGCCCAGGAACACCATGTCCAGGAGCAGCACCTCCGGGCCATGGGACTCCTGGACGGGGTTGTCTTTGAAGATGAGTACTTTAACAGGGAAGCTGTGGAGAGGGCAAGGCTGTCGCGATCAAGATCCCCGCACCGTCGGTCTATCGCTATGGCCAGGGCACGGACACACCCTGCCAATGGTGCTGACTACCTCCAACCTGAGGATTCCACGGGTCAGAGTGACGATGTCTCCCTCTTCCAGATCCCACCGGGCTGGCAACAAAGATGGGCTGACTTGATGCGGCAACTCGAGGACTGGTTCATGGAGGGCAGGGAAGTTGGCATAGCGGTTCGAATGCTTCGTCAAAGGGTGCAGGACAGTGGGGACCAGGACTATATCCAGTGGGCTGAGGAGCCTCTGCTCTCGGTGGGCTGGGGCAATCCGAATGCCCAGGGGCTGGACGCCCATGACTCCCCCACTGACTTCTTCGAATGGTCCAATGCAGTGGAGGAATATATGCAGGTTCTCTACCGCCGCGACGCTACGGAGGAGGACCTCTACCGAAGGGATGAAACAGGGACGGAAGTAAGGGGACAAGCTGCGCCGGACCGGTCCGAGAGGGAGGCCCCACAACCAGATTCTGTAAGTCTGATGGCTGATCGGTATCAGTTCGGCCGCCGCCGGATCCGCGACTCTCGCACTCCTCGGCGGGCTACTCGACAGCATGAGAGGTCCCGGGCAGACGGCGGACGTGGAGGCCGCGGAGGGAGAGATGGAAACGGACGGCCTCGTGAAGGACGAGCTGGAGGCCCGAGCAAACGCTGTACCTTGTCGGAGCGCCCACCGATGGCCAGGCCGTCGACGGGCAGTAGAGGGTCTGGCGATGGCATTGGGGAGCCAACGGTGCCGTCGGGTGCCGCTAGCTCTCGTGATGCGGTGCAGGTATCTCCGCTTGCGCCTGACCTTCAACAACCTATGACGTCAGACCAGGCAGTGTACTTATGGAGGCACCTCCTCTTTGACAAGGATAACTGTGGCCCGCCACTAACCGGCAATGCCAGGGTTCCTGACAACTTCCTTCCACGCCGCATGCTACAGGAGATAAGCACACACCACGAAGCCATGTCTCAGCACAACCGGGCGATCTCCACTCTGGCCCTCATCACGGTGATACGATACCTTATGGCAGAGGTGTCGCGCACTCTGGACGTCGCCGACGCTTTGGCCAGATCGCAGCAGGGTGACATGGTGGAGGTCGAAGTGGATGGTGAAGAGGCTGACACTTCGCTACTCATGCAGAAGTTTGCCTTAACAGGTGGACGGGACACCAAGGAGAGCCGTGGAACTAGAGCTCTTCTACGACTTCACAAGGAGCTCCTTGGGCAAACCCGAGCCGCTCAGCTCGCCCATGTGCGTCGGCTACAACTCGGGCTTCCGTCCCCGTCGGCGACGGTGGCAGTTGACCCGTGGAGGGAACAGCTGGAAGCCTTGCTTGTGGCTTTAGGACCAAGTGAAGGCGAGGCCGTGGACATGGGGCATGCGGATGAAGTGTGGTTTGGGAACTGGGTCAACGAGATCACGGCCTTTGTCCCGAACTTCCAGGAGTTTACTGAACCGATACACGTGGAGACACAAACCACGGCGGCCGCATCCGGTGACTTCGACAGGGAGTTGGAGATGCTTCTTGAGGACGAGGAGAGCGAACGGAACTGGCGAGCACAGAGAGCGGCTGAGGAAGCACACGAGCAAGAACGGCAGCGAGAGTTCGAAGCCAGCTGTGCCAGGGAGCTAGTGGAACTCAGAGCAGATGCTAAAGCCTTTCGAGACTGGGAGCAGGAACAGATGAACGCAGCTCTGGCTCGACCTGGCCCCTCGAAACGCAGGTGTGTCATGACGATTGAAGCGTCATCGGGCTCTTCGGACAAGCCGAGAATGCTGCACACCTTTGAAGTGGATGTCCCTATGAACGGCTCAGCGGTGCAGTTGTCCATCCGGGCAACCATGGAACCAGACCCGGAGGATGTGACTACGCAAGCAGCATCGCCGGCTCCGATTGGGGACAAGTCCATCACGGATGCGGACCAGGGACCACGGGCACATGAACATGGCGGTGGACCTCCCACAGGGATTCCCGACGACCTCTCCTTCAGGGACTACCAAGGGATCTACGAGAAATGGAGGGCGGGTACGCTCACCATGGACATGATCACGGCACAGTATGGGCACGATGTGGCAGAGCTTCTGCAGACACAGCAGGCTTTGGTGGTGTCCGACAGCATGCCGGAAGGTGGTCAACCATCGCAAGGTGTGAACTCCCTGGGCCTGCCGGCCGAAGCAATGGACAGTGGAGAGGATTTGGGACCACCCACTTCGCCCCTAATGGCGGCGGGGGCAGACAAACCCAGGTTCTGTATCTTTGAATCTGTTTATGGACAATGGAAGCAGGGCCTCAGAAGCAGTCAGGACATCAGGCGCACCTTCGGTGAGACTTGGCTGATCCTCTTCGCACAGTGGAAGCTATGGGGGCTCCAGGCTATCGAAGATCGGCTCGGGGCTATCTTGGATATGGAAGTGGATCCCCGCGAAGATGTTCCCAGACCGGTGAATGCCGAGTACGATGAGGGGGTACACCGATGTAGCCTCAAGATACCGTTCAGGGTGATCCGGCATGTATATCTACGGTGGCATGAGGGACTACTCGCGGACAGTACAATCCATGAGATCTACGGCGACTTGTGGATGGGGCTTTTCCGGCGCATCCGCAGTGAGGGGCTCAGCGCATGTCGGGAAGTGTTATCGGAATACGTCGTCTGGGAGCCCGATGATCTCCTTGAAGTTATGATGATGAAGGATGACGAAAACCTTGAATCAGGGACGGGGCAAACATCCACGGCTGACATGGACACGGAGCTTCCTGCAGAACCTGCACTACCACCTCAAAGTTCAGCTACGGAGGGGCCGCAGGGTGTGACTAGGGAAGGGTGCACTCAACTGGATGGTGAAACGGTGGAGTCGATGGGAGAATGAAAGGAACGAGGGTGCGATGGATATGAACACTTCCTGAAGTCCTGAGAGGGTACATTTTGCCTTTCGCTAAGCGAATTCCGGAGTCCTAAGACTTTAGGCGGATGGAAAAAGGTGCTCAAAAAAAAAAAAAACCCTAAACACCTAGACCCTAAACCGTAAATACTGGCAAGCCTCGTTATCTTTGCCGGATCAAACTTCTTGCAGGTGGGCATTTCGGCAAAGGGGCAGCTATCAGAGATTTTGTGCTGCTCGGCGAAGGTGATCTCAGTTTTAGGCATGTCGAAGGAATGCTTTGCCATGGTGGTGGTCGTATCATTAATCAATGGAGGGATTCGGATCGATACTCCTCTGAACGGAGACGCCGAGGTATGCAGGCCAGATGCCTCTCCGGAATGGAGCCCAGCGGACCAGTGCCATTCACGTCCAAACATCTCTCAGTGTCTCGTACAGACTCAAACACTAGCCAGGCCAGTCGGGGGGGGCGCCTCAACATCTTGTCATTAACTTTTGCCGCTTCTGGACTTGTGTGTTTGTGAAACTTCCAGCCATAGCAGAGTCACGGGCGAGTGCCTTCCCCGAGCACCTGTAAACAGGGCCGCTGTACCATTTCTAACTTGTATATGAGCAGGGAGCTGCTTTAGATGCTGCGCTGGGCAATAGCCTACGGCTGGCTGTGCTTGTGAAATAGCCCTGTGAAGTTCGCACGCCAGCTTACCTGGCAAGCCCCACTTCTGATGCTCGCGTAGCTGTTGCTGTAGAGATTTGCGATGCAAATTGGCATGTTGAAGCCGCCAAGCTGAACAGATAGATGGACACATCAAACAGCACTGTTTGCGAAGAAAAGACCCGAAGCCTGAGACTTCAGACACGTGTCTGCAGTTTCTGCGCGCTAAGCCAAGCCTCAGATTGTAGTTTGTGTGGTCGGCTGTCCTTCACTATCGTGACCGTGGTCGAACAGGGGCGGTTGAGATGCCACGCAAGTTTATTGCGCTCCTCCTTCTAGGTGTGCTCTTCCAAAACCTTGAGGGGAACCTTATTTTGGGGTCCTTAAAACACGAGGACCCTACTAACCTGCTAGCTAGTTAGGGAACCATATTAGGGGTCCCCCTGTTTTCAGAAACTCCTTTCAGCTGCAGGTCGACTCCAGGGCCACCTGCGCGACGAGGCCGAGTCGCGCGAGTATGAAAGGGATCCTTGTGTCAGGTGCCAGCGGTTAAACCTTGGTAGCGGCTCCTTTTGTGGGGCGCCGTGGGTTTTACGGCATTATCACGATGAGAACGCTGATTTCAACAAGTGTTCGAATTTTCGAGACTGCGTGCAGGGTTTTATTGTTTTCCCACGCGTTTTAACACATGTTGTAGAGCTGGTATTGGAAAACTTGTATTCGATGAAATTTTGCCAGCAGCCCCGGGCGAAGCAACTGCGGCAAAACACCACAACGGGCAACGCAACGAGCAACATCATCAAGGGTTTTCATGAACATGGGTAGTCATCATTTTGGAAGCACAGCTGGAAAAGAAGAGGAACAAGAATTCCAGAACCTAGCTGCATCCACTCAGTTGCCACGTCAAAGTCTGCGGAGCTCTTCGAGCAACGGTAGCTGCAGCTGCATTTTCCGAAAACAGGCATAAACGTCTTCCCTACGTCAGGGTGTCCATTTACTTCTTTCTTAGAGGAAGCTTCCGTTCCGACGAAACGTTCGTTTGCGAACGGAGTCCGGCGAGAGACTGCTATCTACTAACTCGAGTTATTTGTTCAATGTATTGCAAAACAGAAGAGAAGAAGCATGCAAGCAAATCTTGCGCATCAGTCAGAGGAAGCCGGAAAAGCCATCATGGAAGTCGCTCAGGAGACAAGGAGTGGTTATGGCGAAGCACGGGCATGCATGCCATTGACGGAGTAGGATGCACGGCTGGAAACAATTCGGCTGGAAACAATTCGGTAGGCTACTTGACCAAAGTGGGCAACGAGTTAGTCGCAAGCAACTGGATGTAATCATCCTGCCCCACCCACCCCCAACCCCCAGAAACCCAGGCAACTGGTGGTTCCCCCCCACCCCCGCGACACATTACGAAGAACGGCATACAAGAGGCAAGTGTGATCAGATCTCGGCGGTCGCTACGCGCAGGTTCGGATCGTCCACAACGAGGCTGGACAGACAGAGTTAGCTTCGGACGTTTTGAGGAATACTGGCGCAGCCTCTTTCCTCCTCCTTCCTGCCCCAGGTGATGAGTCTAGACGCACGTGTCGCGCTGCTCGAGGATTCGTTCCAGCTTGGAGTTTGCCTCGTGGTAGTGCATTGAGAAGTTGGGCTGCCGCAGAAGCATATTATTACATTGGTATCTTATTATACTATCATGCTGCACTGATATGTTGTTATATCACGAAAATTAGTATCATATTTCTACATTATAGAAACATTGCTGAAGGAGCAGGCTGCCCTTGCTCCTCGCTTCGGGGGTCGAGGCAGACTGGTGGAGCTGCAGCTAGACTCTCCTGTTGAGCTTGGAGCGGTCTTATCATGCTTGCTTTAGCACAGGGCTTTAGGGTTTAGGAGTTTCGGGTTTAGGGGTTTAGGGTTGTTCTGAAATCAAAAGTCGTGAACGTTTTTTTTGAGTTGGCGCAATTCTGAAATTTCTCCTGAACTCAAGCTCCAGACCTTGTTTCGCATTGAAAGACCCGGAGCTTATGTCAGGTCCAGCGCCTCTGGAAAGCGAGGGCTTGCTTGAGGCTGCGAAGCCGCCAGTCTCGCTTCAGGCCAGGCGTGCTGACAAGTATGTTGTACTTATGTACACATATGTATATCCGTAGATGTATGTATATCATGTATATCCATGTCTGTACGGTATATATTTATATCAACATATCTATATCTATATATATATATATATATATATATAGCATGTATATATATATATATATATATATATATATATATACACATGATCATACAGGTATGTATATATATATATATATATGTGCATGCACCTACATATTTACATGGAATAACATAACGTAACATAACATAATGCACTGTAATATAATGTAATATAACACTATATTTCGTAAATATAGCACAACATAATACAAAATACAACATATTATAACACAGTTTAACAAAAGATAACACAACATAACATCATGCAGCCTTATACTTCAATACACTATAGCACACTATACTACACTATCATGCAATTTGATAGAACATAAAAACTATTTTGATAGACGAATGTCTATCCCCATGTGTACATGAAAGTGGCTGTACTTGCATACACACGTATGTATATATATATATATATATAAATATATTTATTTGTTTTTTTATATAGTATATATAGTATATAGTATATAGTATATAGTATATATATATATATATATATGAGGGTAGATAGATCGATCGATAGATATGCGCATGCATGTACACATGCATACAGTAAACCAACATGTACGTGTGCATGTACGGATGTATGGGTGTATGGATGTATGGATGTACGGATATATGCATGTGTGGATGTATGCATGTATGGAGGATGTAGGGATGTACGGATGTATGGATGGATGGATGGATGGATGGATGGATGGATGGACGGATAGATGGATGGATGCTTGGATTGCTGGCTGGCTGGCTGGCTGGCTGGCTGGCTGGATGCACGGATGCACGGATGCACGGATGCGCGGATGCATGGATGCATGGATGCATGGATGCATGGATGCATGGATGGATGGATGGATGGATGGATGGATGGGATGGGATGGGATGGGATGGGATGGATGGATGGATGGATGGATGGATGGATACATGGATGGATGGATGGATGAATGGATGGATGGATAAATGGATGGATGGATGGATGGATGGATGGATGGATAAATGGATGGATGGATGGATGGACGGATGGATGGGTGAGCAACAGCATACGCTCTTGTTTGTTAATATGCCATAGCCTTTCTGGTTCTGTCTTTCTTTCGACATATTTCGTGTTGTATATGGGTGCCACACCTCATGACCGTGTATTGTCAGGCATGTCAATCGACGAAGCCTGCGAGCCTCCCAACAGATGGAGGTGGGCCATAAGCCTAGGTTCTGGATGTGCCACGAGATTGGACTTTTATTCTTGAGTAGACTGATAAGGACGAACGACCACATGGCAAAAAACGCTCTCGGGCATAGGAATTGCTGGTTGGGAGTTTAGGCTGTTGTTCACGCTCAGTAAGATACGGACTGGCACGATGTGTCGTACTCAAGATGAGAGCAGAAGGATCCGCAGACTCGAGCCCCACTCTATCGTCATTCTTGAGGAGCACCCTCGCAGATTGTCACAATTGCTTGCGTTAAAGTGCTGACGACAGGCTGTGCCATACATGTTTTGGGGGAGAGTTGGAAGTTTCGTTGACCCTGTCGTAAAGATCATTAGAGCTCCACCCTTGTGCAGATGCCCCGGAATCAGGTCGCCTAGAACGGCCCGGTGGTCTAGACTTTGCTTCTCCAGCCTAGCTCTCTGCCTCGCTTTTTAACCCTCTTGCTAGATACAATGACAAAGGCGACGTGAAGTCAGCCAAGGCGTTGCCATGGCAAAGCATATCTAGCATGTCCTGCGCCGCCCGGAGGACATTCGAGATTGCGTGCAGCATTTTCGATGGGTTCCGGAGTGGTCAGCTCAGCTTGCTGCTAAAAACAGGCTTCTGGCTCACAGCTATTTGTGTAATGCTCCACGGCACCGAGGAAGCGCGATGGGGTGGGATTGGGGGACCAAGGCTGGGACTTGAATGTGTCAGGGTACTCACCGGACAAAGCTTTCATAGGCTTTCATGACATCCTATGCACTGCCTCACCGCAAGCGACACGCCGCAAAGACTTGCTTTGGCCTGGTAGGTATGGCAGTGAGGGGGCTGGGGTGCAGCATTCTGGGAGATGAGCACAGTGCACTTTGCTCTCCCGTGCCTGCCAGAGAAAGGGATCTGAATCTACGTCGAACCGTCAGCGTGGTAGAGCAAAGTGC